CCTTCAGTGTGTGTGTGTGTGTGTGTGTGTGTGTGTGTGTGTGTGTCTGTACACAATAGGCCTCCTCCCTTCTGGGGTTGCCTCCCTAGCAAGGCTCAACGTGGCCATGTGCTGATGACCACAGGAGACTAGAGCCAGTTCGAGGGTGGCACAGCTGTGGCCCACAGCATCTGCTGACCCAGGGAGAAGTAAAAGATGAACTGTGCAATAAGCAGTAGAACCTGCACTGTGGCCTGAGAGAGGTTTGCCCACTGAGGACTTGTGGTGGTCCTGTGGGAGCCTGGGTTAGAAGGTGCAGCTCAGAATATGCCCTCAAGTCTGAGCCCTGCAGGACTATGGATGGGAAAATAGCAGATCATACACCATGCTCTGAGGCCTTAAGGTGAAAACCGTTCAGAGTGGGTCCATCTCCATTTAGGAGGTGTGCTATGGTCTTTTCACCTGGCAGTAAAGAAGTAGTCACTGGCAGTGTAAGCAGCAATTGACATCAGTGTCATGCCCCAGCAGGAAAGGGATCTTAGTGGGGGTAGTGCAAACCTGGTGCTGGTACCCTGTGCTACTGCTGGCCTGAACACTGCTAGGGCGCATAGCAAAATTACGGTCTTAGGTGAAGGCCTGCAGAGTTATTTGGATGCTTTACACAGGCATCGTTGCCAAACAAATGGGGGAACCACACAGAGAACAGTGGCAAGCCAGCTAGATGGCTCAGTAGGTAAAGATACTTACCACAAAGCCTGAGAACCTGAGTTCAAGCCCCAGGACCCATGTGGTTAGAACAGCAATTCTCAACATGTGGATTGTGACCCCTTTGGGGGGGTGTGTCAAATGACCTTTCACAGTGGTTACCTACAGCCACCAGAAAACACAGATATTTACATTATAACTCATAATAGTGGCAAAATTACAGAAATGAACTAGCAACAAAAACAATTTTATGGTTGGGGTCACCACTATATGAAGAACTGTACTAAAAGGTTGCAGCATTAGGAAGGTTGAGAACCACTATGATAGGAGAGAAATGACTCCTGCAAGTTGTCCTCCGACATATTCATGTATACTTGTGAGTACTCACGTACTCACACACATATACACCCTCATGCACACGCACACACACACAGCAGGAGAGTAAGCCCTGCTTGTAGGATTTTTACTTTTTTTGTTTGTTTTGTTTTTCGAGATAGGGTTTCTCTGTGTAGCTTTGGAACCTGTCCTGGCACCCTCTCTGGAGACCAGGCTGGCCTCGAACTCACAGAGATCCACCTGCTTCTGCCTCCTGAGTGCTGGGGTTAAAGGCGTGCGCTACCAACGCCCGGCAGAATTTCTACTTTTGACTTAACATTTTCCTGAGGAATAAATGGATTTCTTATAAACAGTATGTGTGTGCAGATGTGTATATGTTAGTGTCTGCATGCATGTGTCTATACATACATTTTATGTTCATGTATCTGTGTGGTGTGTGCATGCATATGTTATATATGTTGTATGTTTAAGTCCCATACAGTGTGTGCTTGTGTGATGTGTATATGTGTATGTGTATTTGTTGTGTGTTGTATTCTTGTGGGTCTATATGTATGTATACACATGTATACACATGTGGATGCATGTACACTGTGTGTCTGTGTGGTAGATGATGCCTTCTCTGGCTTCTCAAGAGGAAGCATGCATTTTTTTTTTCCAGCTCATCTGTGAGTCATACCCAGTTGGCTCCATCTGCAGCAGTGACTCAGCTTTGCAGTCCCTCAGCCCATCAGCAAAAGGGTGCATGATAAATATTTGGCTCTTGACAATCAGGCTACCACCTAACCAAGGGAGGTTAGGGTGACTGTGTCCTCTTGAGGGTGCCAGTAGGGAGGCATGGGTTTGTAAACACTGCATGTGGAAGCAGAACCCTGGAAGAGCCTTTCACATGAAACCCTGTTTCCATTCTCTGTCCTCCATGAAAGAAGCTGCTTGGGGTGGCCCTCCTGGCTGCACAGTACCAGGCCTCCATGGCATCATCACTGGGGTTCCTGTTCCCCTTCTAGGACTCTAGCTCTCCCTAGTTTCCCTCCCTCTCCTGTTCTTTCCTCCTTCCTCCCCATTTCCTGCAACCTAGCCCTGTCTGCCCTAATACCTGTCCCTGTCCAGCCCTCCTGACTCTGAGTGGCCTTATCCACTCATAGCAGTGACATTGTCCAAGTGACTACTCCAGGCTAGGAGAATGTACCTAAATCTACTCTCGAGGTACCAGTTAACATTTAATCCATTCGGAGAGGGAAGCTGGATGAAAGTGTTTCCATAGTGTCTAGGTCACGCTGCAGGGCACATGGGCCTCTCCCAGTGCCCTGTTCTCAGCTGCATCTTTCTCCATCACACCTTCCTCTCCAGGGGCCCTGTGAAAATGGCACCTGTGGAAGGAGGCAGCTCTGTGAGTGTTGGGGCTGTTCTTTTACCCAGCATAGAAGCCCTGCAGAACACTGTGGCACTAGTTGCTGGATTATACACTGGGTGTTGGGGTGTTGGGGTGCTGGGGTGCTGGGGTAGGGGACTCATACAGATGATTTTTATGGGGAGAAAGAAAGAACTCTTCCCCATAGGGAAGGGGTCCCAGGCACTGCCTCCAGCACTTAGCTCAGAGGGAGCAAGGCTGAGGCAGAATGTAGTGTGTAAAGTCCAAGATCATCAGTGTAAAGCGTTGGGAGTCCTTCGCTCCTGTCAGATTCTGTCATCGTAAATGGTTGTCTTCATGTGAGCATGTTTAGCTAACTTGGTTTCATTGTCAGGGACACAGTCAGCCTTGTGTCATTGATCTCAGCAGTGCCGGCCTTCCTGTGGTGTAGCAAATGGAATAATGAAGGTACCACATTTGCCGGTAGCCAATACCTAGAAACAGACAGCACGTTCCCAACCCAGTGTATTTCCCTCTGGAGTCTAAGGCTAGAATTACAGTTTACAGCACAGACACCAGGCTCATGGCATTCCTGTGGCCCAGAGAACCTCAGGCTCACTGTCCAGCCCCCTCCCCCTGAAGAATTACTAATGCATGTGTGATCTGAGCATGATCTAGTCTGTGTGGAAAGCTACCCTGTAAGAGAGCAGACCAGTGAGCAATGGAAAGGACTCACAGTGGCACCCATGGTGGCCCTGCCAAGCCAGGCTAGGGTTGCACAGATAAAGGCCACCATCTGATAACCACTGCAGCCATCCCAGTGCCTGCTCAGGACTGTACTTTGTGTCCTTTAAACTCTTATTTTCTCCTATATCATTGGTGGCAGGTAGGCTACTATGAAACAGGTCAGCGGGGACTATTACCATTAATCTAAGCAAGCATTTATTTCTACGAGGGGATCTGTCTGTGTATTGTAAAAACTGTTGTGCATGTGTAGTTGGTGGCATGTCTGAAAGCACAGTGGCACAGAGCCGGGGCTGCAGACAAGCTTGAGGCTTGACCTGTGCCGTGAAGTTCAACAGTGGCAGGTGCAGTCAACAGGACGTTCAGTAAGCTGCTCTATTTGCTCCAGTCCTTTATCAGTGGCTCCTTAGTTATTGAGCAGGTAAAAACAGAACCCTCTGCAAAGGTCTTAGCTAAGCCCCAGCATATCTGCTTCTTGCTCTAAAGTGGGAAATGGGTGCTAGGATTTTCAGAGTAGTTACGGTTGTGCCCTGGGAATGAGGATTCCTGCACACATCAAGTCTGAGTGCAGACCCCTCCTCAGAGTCCAGGGAATAACCCTATGCCTTGCTGTCTGGTGAGTGGTGACGGAGCAGCATCAGCCCTGCTAGGTGAGAGAGCAGAGGGCACCGAAGTCCACCGGCTACCCTCCAGGCTGGTGTCAGGTCACAGGCACCAGATCCCGTTACAACCCAGGACGTTCAGTTTCATTGAGGAGTCCCTTTCTCTTTCTGTTTTCTTGTGCTGCAGACGATTTACATGGATGATGGAGTTTCGTCCTTTGTCCAGATCCGAGGCTCTGTCCCACTGTTCTGGGAGCAGCCAGGGCTTCAGGTAGGTAATTTACACAGAAGATTTTACACTGTGTCGGTACACCTCTGGTTTCTTTTGGTAACTGAAGTTTGTTTCTTTAAATGTTTCTCTCATGGTGTCATTTATGGTCTCATTCCTTGGCCCAATTGTGTTGAGCTAAGCTATGGAAGTGGAGAGGAGACAGAGAGAGGAGAGAGAGAGAGAGAGAGAGAGAGAGAGAGAGAGTAACACAGGGTGTAGTTTGTGGCCTGAAGACCACGTTAGCTGCTTAAATGTGCAGTGAGAGATCTGTTGAGGTGAACCAGAGAGTCCTTGGATGGGATTAGCTTAAACAGGACCCTAAATTGAGCTTTTTGATAACAGTTTTGGCAGCTGGGAATCCCCTGGAAGTGTCAGGAGGGTCTGCTGGGCCCTCAGCAGCTACATCATGGGTCTGGCACTCTGTGGTACTCGTGCGGAGCCATGTGAGGATTGCAAAGCTTTCCCGTGATTTCTAAAAATACTTTATGCCACCCAAAGTACAGCTTTTGGGCAGTGCCAGGGGGATTTGGCGTCTGCGTCCTGAGGAGAGTTCAGGGACCAGGGACATAGTCCAAGGACACAGCTGTTGTCACTGAAAGGCATGTTGGCTCCCTTAAGTGGCTTCTGACAAGGTGCATCTGGGGAGAGTGGACTGGAGTTTCCTCCTCCTCCTTGCTCTGTTCGGTTCTGCCTTGCAGGACCGAAGTGCCTGAGAAAGCTTCTCCCTGGGTCTTTATTTGGCCCTTGTGGTATGAGAATTGGGTGGTCAGCCAGCAGCCCAAGAGGTCAAGAACACCATGTGCCAGGTTCTCGGGAATGATTGAAATAGCAGGGTTCACAGTGCCCAGTCTTGGGCTCAGCTTCTTAGCCCAGCCTAGACTTGTCCCCAGGGCTGCCACATCGTGCCATGCTGACCATATCCCTGGCCATATCCCTGTCAGCTCTTAGACTAAGATGGATGGCCAGAGTGTTTCATTCAGGTTTTAAGTTCCAGGGTGGGGGGTGAAGGTTTGTTGACAATTCAGTTTTCTAGATATATGACGATGCCCCGTGACACTGAGAGGTAGAAGGCTTGAACTTGAGTTTGCTTGTAACAGGGAAAAATTCCCCTGGAGGCCTTCCAAAGGTCTTTTGTTGCTGTTACTGCTGTTTTTGTCTCACCATGGAGCCTAGGCTAGTCCTGAACTTGTGGCAATCTTTCTGCCTCTGCCTAACAAGTACGAGGATTACAGACCTGTACCCACCATGTCCACTACCCAGAGGTCTTGTTGTTGCTGTGTTTTAAACAGTTCTATTGGGCTATAACTTTTCTACCATAAACTGCACATGTATACAGTTCAGTGCATCTTAGCATTTATAGAGTGTATAACAAGCTCTGTAACCCCAGTTTAGAATAGCTGTTTTTCTCTAGTGCTAATCAAACCCAGGGCCTCCTGTAGGCTGGGCAGCTGTTCTACCATTGAGCCACACCCCCACCTCAAACTTGGAAATGACTCACCACTGCTGGGACACCCATGCCACTTGGCAATCACCCTCTTCCCAGCTCCAACCCAGACCATGGGAACCCTCAGCCTACCCAGTCTCTATAGGCTCAGATCTAGGAGTCAGGACTGAAGCTAAACAACTCTGCCTACCTGCATCCCCACCCTTATATCCCTGGCAGAGCTTACATTCCCTGGAACAGCTCCTTTTCTAGCCCAGGATATTGGAAGGTACTTGAAACTTGTTCTCCTCTAGATTTGGGTTTCCTTTGAGCTCTGTGCAGACACACACAGGTCAAGTGAACACACTATATAGAGGAATTCGGGAGGCTCCATTATATTCATGCAAAACTTATCAGAACCCCAGAAATTGATCATGATAGCCTCATAACACTGGAAGGCCCTGAACTTTGTGTCACCCTTCAGCTCTATAGGGGATCCCTTCTCCTAAGCCTCTGAGAGAGAGAGAGAGGCTGTGCTCCAGGTCCTACTGGGGTTCCCGGTGATTGGGAAGTCTTCCTTGTCTGCCTGCCTGTCTCTCCAGGACATTCAGGGATCCTAAGGTACAAGTCTCACTTTTGTCCTGAGGTTCTCTCGTAGCTCCTGAGTGGGAGGCTTTTTCTGTCCCCTCTTTTTTGTCATCTCCAGCATCTTACTGTTCTTGTGAGGATCTTTTTTTCTGATTGCTCTTGGTATTCTGGTCTCCTTCATCTAAAACATGAGACTTAGCTTGTTGATCATCTCCCTGAGTGAATTAACTTTGGTCTCCAGTGCTGTAGACACAGCCTGTGTAGTCACGGTATGGCTATGCCTCAGATGGACACGGAGGGAGGGTGGGGCAGCTCTGTTACTCCTTTAGATTCCTAACACTTGTCCTTTGGCAAGGCCTCCGTGGTGTCTTCAAACACAGGTTTAAAGGGTGAGTCCTCATCAGTCTTATCTGGGATTTGCTAACTTTGGGGCCTAATGCCTGTATTTATTCTCTAAATACCATCCACCATCAAAGAGAGATGATGTCATCTTCAGAGACACGGGACAGCTCTACATGGTAGTATACATCTAATAGCAGCTATGAGGCAAAGATTAGTTCTGGTTGTCTTTCTCCCCTTCCCTACTTTTATTAAAAATAGTTTCTGTTCTCATGCAATATATCCTGATTACAATTTCCCCAGTCTTTCCATTTCCAGTTTTGCCCTTTCTTCGTGCTTAGGTAGGATGAAAAACGCCCAGATGTGCTGGGGAATGGTGTGTATTCTAAATTGCAATGCAGTGCCTTCTTGGGGGCTTCTGGTAGGGAATGTGAGCCCTGCAGGGGATGAGGAGAGGTGTTGGGAAAATCAAGGAAGGCTGGGGGATGGAGCTCATGGGCACGATGCCCTCAGCACTGACTGCAGGGTCTCTAGTCCACATGGCACCATGTGCATTTAATAATTTTGTCTGTCCCATGCCGGTAGCTGTTTAGCTTACAATAACCCCAGTAAGAATTTGACCCTTAAAACTCAAGCTCTTCCGGCAGAGCCTATGATGGGATGTGTTCATCATTTCATTTGTATGGGAGAGAGTACTCCCTTTGCAGTGTCAGGATCTTCATTCCTGCGACTGGCACAGACACGTGTCTTCCACACGTGAGTCCGATCTTTGTTTTGAAGTTCACGTGATGGAACAGAGTGGAGGAAAGATGTAGATTATAGCACCCCATCCATGTCCACCTCTTCTCCCTCAAACACTGCTTCCTGTGTTCTTGGGAATGTGGTGGTACCAGTGCCTCTTTGTGTGCTTGTCCATCCCATCCCACTGGGAAACGAGATGGCTGATGGCACAGAAGGTCCTGGGGTGAATGAATGAAGGAAAAGTTCTTCAAGTTGAGAGGAACGATAGCCAAGGGCCAAATTAGCCCATGTTATGGGTGCCATGGGGTTGGTGAGCCCAACAGAAAACAGCGTCATGTTTGTCCCAATCACTGGAGCAGCCAAAGTTGCAAGGACATCTATCATGGGAATCTAGAGGATAAGCGATGAAGCTACAGAGACCTGGACATCCCACTTGGTAACAACCAGGTTTTTTGAAGAAATTCTTGTCTTTGCTAAGCCATAGTTTACTGTTCTATAAAGTGGGATTGAGAATACCTGCCCTCGTGGGGTTATAGAGAGGATTAAGAATCACACTACATACTAGAATTTAGCATAGTGTCTAGACCCCACAGTACTCAAAATGGTAGCTGTAGTTAATAATGATGGAAACTAGTACAAGCCAAGTTGGGAGAAGCGTGGCTCTGTGTACTTCAGCTGGTAAGAGGTCTCTCCCCTTCAGAAGGACTCAGATGTAGCCATGTAACACAAAGACCATGTCTTTGGCTGTTTTTCTGCTATGCTTCACACTGATAGGAAGTCAGAAGTCCTAGGCAAACTGATGGAACATTTTCTGTATACACTGGATATCTGGGGTCAGATGTAGCCCTTGCCTTCAAAGAGCAAGGGACAGGCACATGACAGGGTTACATGAATGGAGCTGTGGCAGAGGAAGGCTGAGATCTGAGCAGCAACTCTCGGGAGGTGCAGATGGCCCAGGTGGGTGGAAGAGAGACCACTTAGAGGTCTAGGAGTCCTTTTTGTCTGATTTGGCGATTAGAACCAGCGAGGCAACCCTGGCAGAGGAATGGCAGGTGCATTGTTGTAGCCCCTGAGGTTCATATCTAGGGAATGGCACTGGCTTGGTGTTTGGGATCCCACGTGTGAGTCGCTTTTGAGGTCTGGTGGTGAAGGGATGTTTCTGGAGTTTCTTGTCCCACCTGGTCCCACAGCTGCTTTGCTCCAAATAAACACACAGGTGCTATATTAATTATAAATCTGTTGGCTGATGGCTAGGGCTTCATATTGGCTAGCTCTGTCTTAATTATTAACCCATAAACTACTAATCTGTGTATTTCTACATGGCCTTATCTTACCAGAGAATGCCTGGTGCATCCTATCCTCCTGGTCTCTGCATGGCGTCTCTTTGTGGTCTCTCTGTGCCTGCCTATAACGATAACTCCACCAGCCGCCTGAGTTCCACCGCCAAGTTAGGGCCCCCAAATAACACACAGAGTCTTATATTATTTACAATGCTGCTGGCCAATGACTAGGATTTCTTATATGCTAGCTCTGTCTTAAGTATCAACCATAATCATTAATCTATATATATTTTATAAAAACTTATCAAGGATGCCAGTGAAATGCATCCTCTATTCACGGGATCACATGGTGACTCCCCTCCTTACTACATTTCCCAGAATCCTCCTCGACTCCTAGCCCCTATTGGTCAGCAGTGCTTTATTTATCAACCAATAATACAAAGGACTTCCCCCATCACCTGCTTTTCCTAGAATTCTTGTCTTCTAGTCCCACCTATCTTCCCGACTCTATTGGCCAAACTGTTTTATTCATCTACCAATAAGAGAAATGTATATACAGAAGGACATCCCCCATCAAAGGAAGCTGATTTGTACCATTTGTCTGCTACTGGCAGCATGGCCTCAGCACATCCAGCCTGGAAGAGCTGTGCCATGGTCCGCTGGTAAGCTAGTAGAGCTGTTGCCACGTGCTGGATGATGGTTGTAATGAGAGGTGGAGTGAAGCACAATTGCACAGAACTCTCATAAGTATCCCTGAGGTGACCCCAATGGGAGATGCTGAAATGAGACAGCTGCCAGCCTCTGGGTGGGAGCAGTGGGTACCGCAGAGCCTGGAGAAGCTAACCCTGACTACCAGGGCCCTGAGTGCAAGCTGAACCTCTGCTGTGACCCCAGAAGGTGTTCTTGTGACTTGGATTATAAACTCAGTTGTTCAAGCTGTGGGATTAAATTGACAGTTTTAGGGCTCAGGCAAAGATCATCGGTCCTTTAGCCAGAAGGGAGAGGCTGAGGTGGAGGAAAAGAGGGGGAAACTAAAAAAAGCAACACCAGGCTAACGGAGATTTGTTTTCTGCAGCTCCTTCCCAAGCCTGCCAGCACACTACATCAGAAGTAGGTAATAACAGAAAAAGACCATGTCGTGCAGTGTTAGAGTGGGTCAGGGGTGGAGGAAAGAATAGCCGATGGCAGAGACAGGACTCAGGATTCAAAGAATACAGACTAATGGCCCTCATCCTCTTCCATTCCTACCCAAAGCTCTTGCCACTTTAGAAGACGGGGGGCTTTGACATGAAGCCATGATGCCCACAAGTCCCAGAGCTCCCCGCAGCTTTGAACTGTGGGTTCAGCCCCAAGCTGCTCTTTCCCTGGTGTAACCAGAGCAAAAGGGGTTAGCAAGAGACAGGAAATGAGTCAAAACCCAGGCTGCCAAACCACAATGGTTATGCATCTAAGAATCAGCTGGAGACTTATGAAACACACATTCCTGACTCCACCCTCAGAAATATGGCCCAGTGGGTCTGAGCTGGACCTGCAACTTAGTGTTTCTAACTTGTCTCCAGGGGATTCAGGGACCACACTTTGAAACTTACTGGCTGAGACTGGGATCCTTTTCACCATCTCTTACCCTTGTTATTCCTATGGGGGTGGTGTCCTTGATTTCCTTGTGTCCCCAAGAGTGGGTTAGCACTGATGTCAGATTAGCCGTGGCGATAGGATCATGCATGATAGCTGTGCCCATCCTGTTCCACTCTGGGCTGGTCTGCGCCTTTTCGGCTCTGGCTCTCTACCTATGGCCCATCTCCCCTGAGGTGATAGAGGGAGTGCAAACAGAGAAGATCCTGATGTCACACTGTGGAGCTGCTGGTCCCAGTGCAGTCCTCCACTATATTAACCCAAGTTGTGCAGAGTTGCTAGAACCTTTCACCATTTTGGGGTCTTAATGCAGTGAGCATAGCTGGATGAGAATCACCTAGGTTGGTGATTTTCCTCACTTTGTTCCTGACTGGGTACTTGGTGACATGTTGACTCAGCACTTGGTAACTAAGCAATATATGGCTTACATGTTTATAGCAGAGAGTTCTTAAGCCTGGGCGTGGACAATGTGGTGGAGTACTCTGTGCCCGCAGGTGTCACTTAACAGAAGGGGCTTCAGGCTGGGGCACAGGGAGCTTGTCACAGTGGCTTTTTAGGAAGAACAGAAATGGGAGAATTTTGCTGGCATGGTCCATGCTATATTTAGGGACGCTGCCTCTGCAAAGTAAGCCTGGGGATGCCAATCCTTGCAAGGTTGGGAGTATTGTTAGCAGAGTCGAGAGTGCCTGGCCTGCCTTAGCGGGCAGTGAGCCAAAGAGATGGCCAACCAGGTGCCACATGCAGCCTGGCTATAAAGTGAGAACGTCATCCATTGTCATCATCCTGTTCTGTCTTTCTGTAGGTTGGCTCCCATCATCTGAGACTACACAGAGGCCTAGAGGCCAATGCCCCTGCCTTTGAAAGGTAAGAACATCGGGTACCATCCAAGACCTCCCGCCCTCCATTCAGGGCAAGGGGCAGGACAGTAGAAAGGGGAGCCCCAGTCCTGGATCAAATCTTCCTCTTACATTGGGTCCTTTATCCAAGAAGAGAGTTTGTAAAATGGGATTTTTGCCTGCTCTCAAGTCTCCTTGAGAATGAATTCATCAGTGAGTGGCACTTAGTAATTATTTTATCTTGTTAGTTTCTTCTTAGAATGAAGATTCACCAACTACTCTCGATTAATAAGGGATAATCTGAATTGTATCAGCACTATTTCTGGTTAAAAGTAACATATTAAGTTTTTAAAAGTATAGAAAGTAATAAGGTAAAAGAATATGCAAACTTCCAAGTCCCTCTCAGATTTTACCCATTATCAGTTATTTAAGTAACCTAGAATTAAAGCTTTGGTATATACACTTCATTTCAAAAGAAAAAGATAATTGGACCATAGCATACTGTTTTCTAGCCTGCTTAGGGAAAACATTGCTAGCCTGAGCTATTTATAATCTGTACTTGAATAGTCAATAGCTTCTTTAAAAGATTTTGGTTTCAATCTAAGTACTAATTTTCAAAAATTCTCAAAAGTAACTTTGAGTACTTCATTCATTCCTCCTGAAGCTTCATTGGGTTTTGCATTTGCTTATATACTTTCTGTAATCTATGTAACACTGATGGTATGTGCATACCTGTGGAGGGCTTTTTGTGTAATCTAGTCTTTTCCCAGAACAGACTCAGATGTTGTAAACATGACACACTCAGAGTCATTTTGATTGACATTGGTCCATGCTAAATGTTCCCAGGATGTAGTAAGTATAGACTGAAATTCTAACAGGGGTACACTATCCTGCTTAGCTTGCTCCTGACAGACCATGCCTTACACCAAAATGGTGTATCTCATCATGGCCATGAAAAATATCATCTCATTTTTAGACAAGAGGGAAGCAAAGAAGAATCATCTCCCAGGCGCTGAGCCCTGGCCTCTTTTCTTTCACCCCTCTTTAATTCTTGCAACTTCCCTGCTCAGGGAGGGTGAGCTAGATTTTGAAAATGAGAGAGCATGGGATCTCTTCCAGAGAGTCAGCTTCGGTGGCAGGAAAGGACAGCTAGAATTGTAGCCTTTCTCTTCCACTCTGGGAATTTGGAACCTGTTGAGAAGGGGAAACAGGGATCAGACAGGGAGACCAAGCCCGTATGGGCCTTATTTCTGAGAAGCTGCCTGGCAGGACGTGGCTTAGATACGTGGCTAGGGTGGTACTCGGGCCATCCAATGACAAGCACAGCCAGCAGCCTCAGTGGAGACAGAACATATGTGTCCAACCTCAGGCAGAGACACACCTTCTCTGGGAAATCCCTAAGAGCAGAGCCTCTGCATCCATCTCTTCTTGTCCCTTCCTTGGGTGGCCAAGTTCCTCATGGTAGTGGAACTAGCGGCCTTGGGGTCAACTAGTCAGTGGACAAGCTTAAATGAAACTACCCACTCCTAAATCTTTCTCTATGACATGATATCACTCAACAAAAGCAAGAGGATATTTTTTATCCTCAGGCTAAAAATAGTTCTTTATGAACTTAAAAATAACATATTTATAAAAATGAATGTCAGAAAATAAATTGTAGAAACTTGGAAAAGAGAGAAAAATGTTGAAAGAAGAAAAAACAAATTTAACATTTCACCCACTTGAAATATCACTGTATATTTCCACTCTTTCTTTTCTATATTTACATGTAAAATTTTTCTATATTTACATAGAAAAATTATTAAGGTGCTTTGGCTAAGCATGGTGGCTCATGCCTGTTATCCCAGCATTTGAGAAGTGGAGGCTGGGAAACCAGGTGCTCAAGTCCATCCTTGGCTATGTAGTGAATTTGAGACCAGCCTGGGCTATATTAAATCCAAGGAAAAATAAAGTTACTTTTAGCAAACTTGTGATAAAGATTAAGAACTGGTGCCTCTGTAATGTTTGAAGGTGAAAGGTGGACTGCACGGTTTGTGATACCATCACATTTGGGATTCACAGTGAAACGCAGCACCTGCGAGGCAGTTGGCCTCTGAGGTAGAGGTTCATCCCCCAGTGCTTCTAATTGGGAAGAGAGAGGAGGGGGCACCAAGGGAAAGAAGCAGCTCTGGGTTAACTTTGGAGATGGGAGTATTGACACCCTCATGGCTATTCATAAAAGACGAGGCACAGGGAGTTCTAGGTAGTACCCTATAGAAGGGCCAGAAAGTCTCACATGCTAGACATGATTCCTGCCCAAGACTTCCTTCCAATCAAGCTGCCTGGGATGACTTACGCCCGTGAGTTTCAGATGAGTAGTGATGGTAGCCAAGAGGATGGGTTTTTCTCCCCTATATACTTGGGATGAAGGGACATGGCTGGTCCCGAATCTCCAATGCTGAGATGGAGGTGCAGGCTGCCTGGCTTTGGGTGCCATGGAGTCACTGCCAACTCTGATACCTTTGCAGGCACATGGTACTTCTGAAGGAGCAATATGGGAAACAGGTGGTCGTGAACCTGCTGGGAAGCAGAGGTGGTGAGGAGGTACTCAACAGGGCCTTCAAGGTAATGCTCACCCTCCTTCACAGCCAGGGATGGGGTAGGAAGGGGGCAGCGGTTGGGCCCACTTACATGGTGGGGACTGAGGCAGCCCTGCTCATGTCAGTACTTGGGTCAGCACATGCCTCGTGAAGGCTTTTATAGCCCAGCACTAGCCCAAGCAATAGATGACTTGGGCTCTATTTTTTTAAGGCTTATTTATTTATTGTATATACAGTGTTCTGTCTGTCTGTATGCTTGTGGGCCAGAAGAGGGGGCCAGATCTCATCACAGATGGTTGTGAGCCACCATGTGGTTCCTGGGAATTGAACTCAAGACCTCTGGAAGAGCAGGCAGTGCCCTTAACCGCTAAGCAATCTCTCCAGCCCCAACTTGGGCTTTTAATATTTTGTTTACTTTCTATGAGATGAGGAATAAGAGAATATGTTCAATCTAAGCAGAGCTGTTTCCCTGAGCTCCACATAGGCAAATAGGCCTCCCATGCTTCCCCGAGGAGCTGCTCTCCAGGCCAGAACAAAAGGGCAGCCTAGAAGTGGCCTGGCACCTCCAAGGCCCCCACCTGCCAGCACCCACGGCATTTGTGCTGAGTTGAGCCTCTTGGTTCAAAGAAGACCCCGTGTGGCTTCCTTCTGCCTATGTGGCCTTCAAGTTACATGGTCATGCTTGGGCTGCCAGGGGAGGGATTGTGCCAGACTCCTTTTGATTCCTGGGTGCTCAGTTTAGAGCAGAGTGGATCTCGACAGGGTGAGGAAGGAGGCAGAGCTGGTGACAACACTCAGGTCTCTCAGCCACAGAACCCGTGAGCCTGTGGCCTTCAATTGAAGATTTGGTGAACTGAGGCAGCCTCCAACATGCCAAGACTCCACAGCCTCTGCTTAGAGGGAAAAGGCTCTCTGGTTGTTTGAAGTTCTCCCTTATGGAGACATCCTCCTAAGGTCACCTTGGTAGATATGTGACCTTTGTGGCTTCCACTGCCCCTAACCCCAGGCTGGGGGAAGCCAAATCCATGTGGCTTAGAAAAGCTACATGCGTGGAGCAGGAGCTCGCTGGCTGCCAGTTTTCTTTGGCCAGACTTGCTTTTCCTGTTTAGCTTGTTGCTATGAGCAACAAGCTCAAGAAATATCTCCTCCCACTTCTCTTGGCAGCTATGCTGACTGCTTATTTTAAGGAAGGTGAGGAGAAAGGGGCAATAAAGAAAATTAATCTCAGTATCTCTCTCTAACAACAACAACATCAAAAAAACAAACAAACAAACAAAAAAAACTAACCCAAATCCTTCATGCTTGAACTATAGAAAGGACATGTTCAGCCCCTCCCCCAGCTGGTGGCAATGCCCTAGCACTGAAGTGAAGAGAAGGCCTCCTTTATACCCAGAGGACAGAGATGTCCCAGGAGTTAAGGATGACTCTTGAGCAGGTAGAACTAACACTCTTAGAGACAGGCCATGGCTCTCATTCCTGAACATCCTTTACCAGAGAGAAGCCAGTGCCTAGCAGGCAGCCTGAGCCCCCGTGGTTGTCATTCCACAGCTGGGCAAGGCCACTAAATTCTTTGTTTAGTTACAGAGGCTTCTTTTCCCCCACAAGACTTTCATGGAGGGGCAGAACATGTTTATTTGCATTCTGGTTGGCTGGAGCGATCCAGTTATTTGTTCTCAGAACCTCTGGCTAAGCAGATGTTGGGTTAATACAGTGAGGACCAGAGATGGGTGGCTGAGGAAGGCAGGTAGCCTGTCTCATGCTCCGGGGAGTTTTTGTGAGCAGGCTGGGGACATTTGACAGGCCAAGGAAGCTGTGTGGGGAAAGGAGGCCTCACTTCTGTGTGGTGTGTCCTGATTCATCCATAGCCCTGGTATGTGTCTCGCTGTTGTCCCCCCCCTCCCCCCCACTTTACCCTGGTCTGCCATTCTCGCTGTGTCCCCGCTCCGGTACTCTGGGTCATGTAGGGCAACATCTCCTCCATCTTAGACTTCACCACTCTACACATCCTGCTGGAGACTCAACTATTGCTGAGCCCACTCTCCTAGGGCTGGTGCCTGTCTGAATGGGATGGTTACCAGGGCAACAGGAGCTAGATTATGAGCTGCATGGCTTGCCACATGTCGCTGTTCCTGAGGGCTGGGCACTTGGGGCACCTGAAGAACAGCTCTAACCTTCCCTCACCTGTGCCCTCTGAGCCCCAGGAAGAGTGGAATGTCCCCCAGAGAGACACCCCTGCTGTGGGCTCTTTTGCCCAAGGGGGACCTTCTGCTCTTACAAAGGCAAGATGCTTTTTGTGTCTTCTGTGCCCTCCAGCTCTCCACTCCACCCCACCCCACTCCAGGCTTTTGTCTTGTCTTTCCCTTTCAAGGTCAGGGCCAATCTACCAGCAGTTGTATTCAGTCTCGTGGGTGACAGTTGGTGGCCAAAGCACCCAAGGAGGAAAAACCACAGGCACCACCTTGCCTTTCTTCCCAGTCTTTTCTGTCAGTATGCCCACACCCTCCCCTTTCCCTTTTCAGAAGTTGCTCTGGGCTTCTTGCCACGCAGGCGACACGCCTATGATAAATTTCGACTTCCATCAGTTTGCCAAAGGCGGGAAGCTAGAGAAATTGGAGAACCTGCTGAGGCCCCAGTTAAAGCTGCACTGGGATGACTTTGGCGTGTTTGCGAAGGGAGAGAATGTAAGTCCACGGTGAGTCTCATGGGGCCTCAGACTCCTGCTGGGGAGGAGTCGCTGTGGAGGCTGTGGGTGCCTTGGGACATGTACCAAAACAGAAATCATTTCCCTCCCTGGCTGCCTGGCTGCACTGTGGTGTTCTGAAACATAAGCTCTGTGACGTTGGCTTCTGAGGTCCTGATCATCCCCACTCCCTCCTCTGTAGTCAGAGACATGCTTCTGGATTTAGTGAGAAAGATGGTTAATGCCTGGTCTTCTGGAAAAAGACATGTCAGAACATAAAGTACTGTGTTACAACATTGAGCTCCAAGCTGGCAATGTAGCTCAGTTAGTAGAGTGCCGGGCTAGCATGCATGAAGTCCTGGGTTCAGTCCCCAGCATTAAGCAGAACTAAGTATGGTGGTATACACCTGTCATTCCAGCACTTGGGAAGTAGACATAGAAGGATTAGAAGTTTAAGGTCATGCATGTACACTGAGTTCTAGGCTATCCTGGGCTACCTGAGACTCTGTCTCAGAAACAAAAGCAATAAACCACAAACCCAACCAACCAAACGAACCCTCCCTGCCTCCCACTGCCACCCCGAGCTCAGATGACATGACTTAGCCACACTGAGACAGGACCTTTGAGGGGAGCAGATGCAAAGCCATAGTGCCACATCATTGGGCTGCGAGGTACCCTGTTCTGAGTGGAGTGTGAAGGAAGTCCAGCTTCCACAACCACAGTCTGTCATCAGGAAACCTCAGGTTTATGAATTCACTTCCTCACTAAAACTCCCTGGCAACCCAGAGTCTCCTCACCGCATACATGTTTGCCGTCACTCACAGACAGATACAGCACAGTGAAAACTCCCCCCTCCCCCAGTGAATTGAACAAGGCCATGCTCTGCCACCATGTCTCGGTTCTTCCTGTAAAAAGTACCTTTTCACTATTTAACTGATTGCTGTGATTTCCACGTTTTTGTGCTTCATTTGGGTGATGTCCCTGTTTAACCTCAATGCCAAGGTGCTGCCTAGCATTCCAGACACGAGACAGCAAGGCTGTTCCCTGTGTAGGAAATGCACTGGGTACCTTGTTTAAGACAAGAACTGCAATGCAAGTTAGCAGAGGGTCGCATTAGTGAAATAAGCAGTATGCCGTGCCACTTGACTTGCAGGGGTGTCGCTGCCTGATGAACCCATTTTATGTCAAACCCCCATAAGATTGAAAAACAAAAGGTTGAGTTGCACCATCCCAAGGTTGTCTGCCTGTGTATATTTACCAGTGTGTATTTTTGAACAAAAACATGCAAAGCAAGGTCATTATTGACCAGCTGATGCAGTGTCAGAGACACAGGTCTTAGCTTCTCCCAGGAAGAGATGCTTCAGTGCTTGCTAAAGTGCTATAGAATGCCATTTTGTAGATAACAAGAACCAGCTGTACTTACAATGACCTGGCACGTGGGCTGCTTGAGAGTGTGCTCTCGGGTCTGCCTGTCCTTTCTGCAAGTCAGGGTCTATTGGGATGTTGCTCTGGACTGCTGCTGAGCCGATGGGGAAGAGGCAGGGGGCTCTCTTGTGGAGTAGGTTCCCTTGGGAACAGACAGACCCAGGCCATGTACTGTAGCTATTGGTCTTCCAAACACACCTCATGATCCTACCGTGTCTCCTGGCCCTAAGTTTTCAGAAAGGCACTCTGCGGATGAATTGTCTCGACTGTCTGGACAGAACCAACACTGTACAGTGCTTCATTGCTCTTGAGGTGAGTCCTTGGGCCATCTGTGTCATCCTGGCAGTCAGTGGGGCAAGGGTGGCTTTACTGGGTTGACTGTCTAGTTATAGATCAGGAGGGGGAACATTTAGAGAGGTTTCCTTGGTGGCTTCCTGCTTGTCCCACCGTATGCCTTCCCATCATAGATGTACTTATTTATATGCCTGCTGAGATGTGTCCCAGATATTGTGGGCCAAAGGCTCCAGGTGCCCTTAAGCAGATATTCTGGGGCTGAAGAGATGGCTCAGAGGTTAAGAGCACTGGCTGTTCTTCCAGAGGTCCTGAGTTCAATTCCCAGCAACCACATGGTAGCTTACAACCATCCATAATGAGATCTATCTTCTGGCCTGCAAGAAGACATGCAGGTAGAACACTGTATATGTAATAAATAAATAAATCTTTAAAATTCTATATAGAGATAGTCTTGAATATCCCCCAGAGCCAAGGCAGTGTGAGACTGGCTGAGTTACTGACTCCGAGTGTCACTGTGGCTCTAACTGCTTGGCCAACTGCCTACAGCTCCATCTGTGCCACCTATTGTCTCCCCCACTGCCTCCCGACAGTAATGTTGGTTGATCTGGCATTGGGCAGTCAAAGAGGGGCTGGAAAGATGGTCTAAGGAAAGTTGGGGGAGTCAGGCTTGGGGACAGTCTGGTGAATAAAGTACTCACTTGGAGGCCTCAGTAGGTTTTCTAGGCATCCAGTGATAACCATGGTTGGTTTCTCTCCTAGGTCCTTCATCTGCAGCTTGAGAGCCTGGGGCTAAATTCAAAGCCCATCATTGACCGCTTTGTGGAGTCCTTCAAAGCCATGTGGTCTCTGAATGGGCATGGGCTGAGCAAGGTGTTCACAGGGAGCAGGGCCCTGGAAGGAAAGGCCAAGGTAGGGGGCACCAGGGGTGGTGGGAGACCAAGGAGGGGGGGTGGTCAGGGGTGTTGAGAGGCCAAGGTGGGGGAGGTCAGGGGTGTTGAGAGGCCAAGGTGGGGGAGATTAGGGGTGGTGGGACGCCAAGGTAGGGGCAGGTTGAGGGGACAGGAGGAAGGTCCCTTAGTAGGTCCCTCTCACCGAGCATTGTGCCATGCAGGTGGGGAAGCTGAAGGATGGGGCCCGATCCATGTCTCGCACCATCCAGTCTAACTTCTTTGATGGTGTGAAGCAAGAGGCCATTAAGCTACTGCTGGTTGGAGATGTCTACAACGAAGAGTCCACAGACAAAGGAAGGATGCTACTTGACAATACGGCTCTTCTGGGTAATGCATGCCCACCCTTGCATGGGGAAGGCTATGAGGAGGCAAGGGTGACAGTGCATGAGGCTAATGGCCCCACCACACCCAGCCACGTGATCTGAGGTGGAGTTTCTGGTCTGTTCTGTATTCTGATTTGATTCAGTTGACCTAAGCAGCCTGACGTCCCTATACCATTGTCTCTTGGTGTCCAGAAAGCACTGATTCTAGGTTCCTGTCTTAGGGTTTTTATTGCTGTGAAGAGACACCATGACCACGGCAACTCTTACAAAGGAAAACGTTTAATTAAGAGGAGACTTACAGTTTCAGAGGTTTAGTCCATTATCATCATGGCAGCCTGCAGGCAGGCAACAGGAAGTAGACTGACTCACCAGGCATGGTTTGAGCATATATGAGACCAAAGCCCACCTCAACAGTGACACACTTCCTCCAACAAAACCACACCTACTCCAACAAGGCCGCACCTCCCAAATAGTGTCACTCCCTTTGGGGGCCATTTTCTTTCAAACCACTACAGTTCCCATGGGATAAACTTCACAGATGTTCAAGTCCCCCTGAGAAACAAAGGAAAGAGAGCATTGTTAAGCCCTGGGGTTAGGGATGTATCCAATCTCATAAGGCTGTCAGGCTTCTTTGGGGCTAGTTTTGCCCTGTTTTGTCATGGTGGCAGTGGAGCTTAGGGCTCAAACCTAGAGCCTAGCATATGAAAAGTGCTGGGCCATGGATCTGGACACCCCAGCCTCCTTTTACTTTTTGTGTTGAGCACCAAGCTGCCCACTCTGTCCTTGAACTCACAATAGCCAAGGAATACCTTGAATGTTTGATCCCTCTGCCTAAGACTCCCAAGTATGTGACTGCAAACTCTGTCATTAGTCCTGGTTTCTGTAGGGAATTTTCCATGAAGTCTTATTCCTTAGAGGCTGTGAACTTATGCTTAATGGAAAGTGGAAGGGTGGAATCAGCTGTTTAAAAAGAATGACAATGTTTTAGAAAAATAAATGAACCCCAATGTTAAAGTAGTTTTATATAGACCTTTCACTTTTCATTGTTCCATAGTTGGGGAACACTTAACTTTCCAAGGTGACACTGTATATCTGCTCTGGAGTTAATTTCCAGCTCAGGAAAATTGAAGCCAACTCCAGGTGCCATCGTGAGCTCATTTAGTGGCGAACAGAGGATATAAATGGCTGATTTTAGGGGGTTTCCTAGATATGTTTATTTTGTTTTCTGTATATGAATGTTTTGCATGCATGTACATATATGTGCACTATGTGCATATCTGATGACCTTGGAGCCACAAGAAGGAGCTGTATCCCCTGGAACTGAAGTCATAGATGGTTTGAGTCACCATGAGGGTGCTGGGAATCAAACCCTAGGTCCTCTGTAAGAGCAACAAGTGCTCTAAACCCCCTAGCTATCTCTCGAGCCCCGGAAGTTGCTAGCTTTTAAAACTGTGGATAAATTTTGGGTCTCTAAGTAGAGAGATGGATGCAATGCCTTAGGTTTGAGGTCAGATAAACAAGAATCTTGCTGGATGGGGAAGGCAAAAAATGCAAAAAAGCAGATTTGGGTTGATAAGGTGCTCTATCATCCATCCATCCCATATAGACGTGAATGCTTATGTGTTTTTACTATACCATCATGTGACACATTACTTACTTGGTTTATTGCAGTTTGACCTCACTTTTATTCCTGTGCCTTGTTCTGTAGATCATGGGCTGCAGGGTCAGTGCTAGGCTTTTCCACTGAGTACCGTGTCACTGGGTGCCCCATGCCTCTCTAACTATAGCTGGAAGGTATATTTCCAGTCCCATGCTTTCATGCTTTATCACAGATAGGAAAGCAGAGTGGTTAGGGTGGGTATTAGCCTTCTGTTTTTTACCTATGGACCATGTTCAGCTCTGTTGTTCACAGCTCATGAATGGATTCTCTGACAGGCCACCCCTTGGACAGCATTAGAGGGTCCCTACAGAGTCTGGGCTGCAGATCACGTGCCTTTTATGCTTCCTAACAGTGACACCCAGGATCCTGAAGGCCATGACAGAACGCCAGTCAGAATTCACAAATTTCAAGAGGGTCCAAATTGCTGTGGGGACCTGGAATGTCAATGGAGGGAAGCAATTCCGTAGCAATCTCCTGGGAACAGCCGAGCTCACAGACTGGCTTCTGGATGCCCCCCAGCTCTCAGGAGCAGCGGACTGGCAGGGTGAGAACAGCAACTTGGGAAAGGCCAAGTACAGTTCCCTATAGCCTGCCATGCCCGGCAGCTTGACTTTGCCCACATTGCCTTGTGAAATTTAGTATCGGTATTTGCATTTTCATTTATCAACGTGTTAAAAAGCACCATGGGTCTCACCTAGAATGTTGACTGGAAGTATTATGTTACCTTCAAGATGCCTTTTCTTTTCCAAGTACATGGAGGAGTTTCCAGGGAGTGGTTTGCCTTTCTCTAAATGGGCAGAGATTTTGTGGTCCGAGGTTAAGTGACAGGATAGTGGTCATCTGTAGGTGCTGCCATCAGGAGCTGACTAGAGCAAGGCTTGCAGAGGATCTTGGGCATTGCTTCAGTCCTGTCTTTCTCCAAGCCTATGCCAGCACAGACAGTCCCACTCTGGAACTCTGGAATCCTAAATGCTAGAGCAGCTGGAACTTGTCAGTACTGCTGTGACATCACATGGGCGTGGAGACAGTGTCACAGGGGAGGGTCTTCCACTCCTGATCTATGATGAGTCACAGTCAAAGCTTGGCCGACTGGAAATGTATAAAACTACGTGTTTGGGGTGTGTGTGTGTGTAAAGATGTACATGGCAGAAGGGATTTTGAGAGCCTATCCCTTGTGAAGGGATGCTCTCTTGGCCTGGACACATTGGGAAGGGCCTAGACCTGGCCCAGGATGATGTAGTAGACTTTGGGGATCCCCTTTTGAGGGCCTTACCCTGCCTGGGGAGTGGAGGGGGGATGGCTAGAGGCAGGTAGGATGTTGGGGGGAGGGGTGGGAGAGGGAAAAGGGATTGACATGTGAAGCAAGCTTGTTCCTAATTTGAACTAAAAAAAATAAAATAAAATGTACATGGCACAGATTAATTCCTTGTGTAGAATTGGGTGGCATCCCCAAGATATCTCATTACACTTGTACAGATATTCCTAAATCCAGAATCTGAAACTCCTCTATCCCAAGCATTTAGGTAAGGGTTACTTAGCCTGTAGGAGTGTTCGTTCAGAGGCCTGACTGCTTCCTGCATTTCAAAATAAGGAACAGGTTCACTCCTGGGTGATGAGTAGTGACTCATATTTTAATAAAAGCATTTTCTCTTGTCACATAGCCATGTGACCCTCATCTCAGGGCAGGTATGGGGGGGGATACAGTTCAGGGTCACTGAGTCATTGGTGGTTAGTGTTGGCATTGCTAAAGTACCTAGAAGTCCTCTGAATGACATCAGAGGCAGCCCACTACTACCAAGGATATTCACCCCCCATCACTGAGGAGAGTTCCCTAATGCCATGGTGGCCCTCTTCTTCTGCCTATACAATAGGCTGGTGGTTAAGGCACACTGATGCCTGTTTGGCAGCGTTGTTACTGAGGAAGATGGCGGTGGGCTCACTGGAAACCCACCAGGTTCAGAATAAAGGGTGTGTTGACTTACTATTGCCCACTAACTCAGAGAGAGGAAAGCAGGTGTTTCATTTAAAGAGAGAAGCAGATTTATGCTTTCAGCCCATTCAGCTAAGGTGCCAAATACCATGTGGCCAACAGAGGACATGGAAAGCTAGCTGGATTTTTGCTGGAGAGGCCTCTTCCTCCCTGGCAGGAGCCATCTCATTCCTTCATTTGGAACACTGTCTGGTGTTGATGGCTCAGGTCCATACGTGTCTGAAGAAGTGTCTGGGAGATCCTCCATTAAATGGCTGTAGGGAGTCTATGAAGCACTGGCCTCCTTTGTAGCAAGGGGTGGCAGCTCCAGACTCACTGTGCTCTACGGCTCACAGGCATCTATGACACTTTCCATCAGTGGTCTTGGACAGTGTCTCCTGTGACCACAAGCAGCCATGCCAGATCAACCTGAAAAATACTTGGGAGCCACAAAATATACATGAAATAATGTTGTTCCTAAGTTCCTGGTCACTTAGGATCTGGCTGGAGAGACTTGTCACCGGGAAGGTGAGAGAATGCTCTTTAGAGGGACCAGACTGAATCAAATATTTTAATCATGGTACCCAATTTAAATGCTGCATTACCTGGTGACACGGCCATTGCTTGCTGTCCCTTTGTAGAGGAAGAGCCAGAGGTTCTTACTGTTCCAGGCTGAATACAGGGTAGGGCAGAGGTTGCATGGGCAATGAGCACAGGAGGGGAATGAGGGCAGGCTCCAGTGGCTGGTCCCTTGTGAGTGACAAGGTTCAGTGGGTTTCAGCAATGAACAGATGTGGGCAGGAAGAGTGAAAAGGACTTCATGACACAAGATCTGGCTGTTGTGATTTCTTTGACCTCTTGTTCTCCAGGTGATGGCAGCCCCGCTGATATATTTGCTGTGGGATTTGAAGAGATGGTGGAGCTGAGTGCAGGGAATATTGTCAATGCTAGGTAAGGGGCTGGGCATGGAGAGCAGGGTGTCCCTGGACCAGATGCCTTGCCAGGATCCAGGGCTCCAAGCATCCCTAGAGCCAGCCTGTTTCTGGGCCAGCTGCCCATGGCCTTGGCTGTCTGGGTCCTTCTGGCTACATTGCCTGCACACACTGGCTGATGCAGTGCTCTGGCCCTCTTCCTGCTGGTTAAACAAACAGAAGGAGGCACTGGTGTGTGTCTTCTGTGAAGTGTTACAGCCTGGGCATTGTGTTGTGGTTGAGTCAGAGAGAGGGAGAGGAAGAGAGAGTATGGTGTGTGTGTGTGTGTGTGTGTGTGTGTGTGTGTGTGTAGGATAGTGCCTGGGGAAAAACGAGGGGTGAGAGCCCTGTGGTGGGTGTTGAGATGCCCTCCTCTTAACACCAGGCAGAAAGGGGAGACCCCAAACCACTGAATCAGTACTTGATATAAAGTCAACCAGACATTCACCACCATAAGTGACCCAGTCTTACATAAAGGAACTCTTTAATTTTTAAGATTACACGTATTTATTATGTGTGTGTCTATATACACACCAGTGCCCCACAGTGCAGTATGAAGGTCAGAGGACAACTTTCAGGAACTGGTTTTCTCTTTCCACTTGGGTCTTGGAGCTTGAACTCAGGTTGTCAGGTTTGGCGGCAAGTTTCTTTACCCACTGGGCCATCTCATCATCCCTTAAGGAACTCTTAAAATAAAATAAAGCAGGCTTGTGGGAGGTCTTAGCAGATCTTTATTGTGCTTGAGTGTCAGGGGTCTGGGGAGCCACTGTGATGTGTAAGATACAATCAAAGCTAGGCCTGGTGTCACAAACCTGTCACACCAGCTACTCAGGAGGCTGAGGTAGAAGGATTGTGAATGTCAAGGGGTACCTAGGCTATAGATTTAAGTTCAAGGCCAGTCTGGGCAAGTTTAATGAGTTACTGTCTCAAAAAGTGACAAGAGGGTTGAGGATGCTCAGGAGTAGTTTCCTGACCTAGCATGCAGGATGCTGTAGGTTCAAACCTCACTACCACCAAAACGTCAAAAATAATGGACAACAGCAAAAATAGGGCAGAAAACATGTAGGCGTCAGTGGGAAGGATTGATGGCTGACACTCATTCGGGGGTACAGGCTTCATGAAATCAACCTGTAGAAAAGACAGATGGAGGGCCGTGGGGTGGACAGTGGTAGATGGGTGCTCCCTACTAGCAGGCTGAGACATCTTTGACTTCCTTGCCTTTTCAGCACCACTAACAGGAAGATGTGGGGTGAGCAGCTTCAGAAAGCCATCTCCCGCTCTCATAGGTACATCCTCTTGACTTCCGCGCAGCTGGTGGGCGTCTGTCTTTATATCTTTGTACGTCCATACCATGTCCCATTCATCAGGTAAGAACACTGAATTTATAAGCATCTGGGGAATGGGAGCTTGTGAGTCTGTGTTTTGTTCTGTGACTTCCTCCTGATGCCCCCCCACTCCTCCCAACACCAGCAGGAAACAAGACCTACCCTTTATTCTCAATACACAGAGCCAAGCTCCTGAGGGAAAATGGGCTTGAATTGAATATTGTCTGGCCACTGAAAGCTACCACGGGAAAATCCTAACTCAGGAAACCAGCCTGAGGAGGAGTCAGGACTGACATCAAGCAAGCTCAGGCAGCGCAAGGAGCAGGTGTCACATTCACATTTCCCAGACAGGAAATGCTCTGAGCAAGGGCTGAGTGGACTGCTCGGAAACTTTGAGTTCACCTCTTCTAGAATTCTAGGTAGAATTCATTTTGCCTCATTATTGCCTCCCCAAGGTGACGGCTTTGTAAGTGTAACAGTTAGCCTTGGGAAATAGGTGTCTTTTAGGAGAAGGCATGTGTAGGTGAGATCCTAGAGGAGTTTGCCTTTTTCTTGCTTTCTCCTTGTCTCCTGTTGCTACACAGTCAAGCTGGTGGCATCAGCTTGCTAATTGCTAATGAGTGGCCTGAGACCTGGCCAAGCACCTCTATATAGAGAGGGCTGCTAGAATGCCCTGTGGTGGCCCTTAGGCTCTGCATTCATAATTTTCTATTACCTTAAAAACCCACTTAGACCCTGCCCCTGCCATTGTGTTATTAGCACAGGTTGGCCATGCCCCAAGTGGAAGTTCGGGTAAAGGTTAATGATAAGTCCTGGTGATCCCAACCTGCCTGAGGTCTTCTCACCTTGTCTCAGTTTCCTGTCCCTCTGCCTCATGCCTGTTTGACTCAACCCTTGGGCAGGTTATCACCCCCACCTTGTCTCCCCTGTGGCGGTATAGCAGCAGTCTCCAGCTGTGGCCTGCTCACAGAAACATTGTGTAGCCAACAGTCTGGTCCAGGGGCTCTGCACAAGGGTGTGCATCCCCAGTGCATTTGGAGAAGGGCATTATGGGACTGATTCCCAGGTCAGCTGAAGGCCTGTTTCCTTAATTGTCCATTGTCACTTCATAGGGTATGCACTTTCATGAGAACTGAGGGGTATGGGAGGCACAACAGTGAAAAAGAGACACCATGACCATGACAACTCTCATAAAGGAAACATTTCACTGGGGTAGCTGGCTTATAGTTTCATCGTAATCACGAAGGGGAGCATGGCAGAAGCATGCAGGCAGATGTACTGGGGCTGAGAGCGCTACATCTTGCAGGCAACAGGAAGTTGACTGTCACACTGAGGGAAGCTTGAGAAAGAGACCTCAAAGCCCACCCCCACAGTGACACACTTCCTCCAATAAAGCCACACCTCCTAACAGTGCCACTCCTCTTGGTGGCCATTTTCTTTCAAACCACCACACCCCTGTTGCTTCTGCTGGGGAGAGAACTGGGGCAGACACAGAAATGATGTTTCTGCGGCGTCACAGGATACTGATGGAGGACCTGACAGAGATGCATCCCACCCAGGCAGTGCTTGGCGGCGAGGAGGACCATGGACTTGACCGCAGTCACTTCAGTAACCAAGCTTTCAGCTACAGGCTCTTCTGTGGTCGAATAGGTTTATATTCTCCCACAGCCAACAAGGCATGCCATCTTTTTGTTACAGGGACGTGGCCATCGACACCGTGAAGACTGGCATGGGGGGAAAGGCGGGGAATAAGGGCGCCGTGGGCATCCGCTTCCAGTTCCACAGCACCAGCTTCTGTTTCATCTGCAGCCACCTGACGGCTGGGCAGTCGCAGGTGAAGGAGAGGAACGAAGACTACCGGGAGATCACGCACAAGCTCTCCTTCCCCGCGGTGAGCGAGCCACGTGGGTTGGCTGTGCACTGGGCCTGCCTGCTCACTTCTGCCACGAGTGGCTTTCTGGGCTGCTGACAGGAGCCCCACCCTCAACACCTTGACAATCTTCACCATGGGGGAGGGAGATGTGCCCAGTCCCTCAGTGTTCTGTCACTTCCTACCTCAACTTCCTGGGTAACCTAGCTTTCCTTGGGTGTACTTTAGGGTGTTTCAATTCAGATTGTGGAAGGAAATGAGCGTGGTCATGTGAAGAACATTTGAATTCAAGCAGTATGATTTCCTTTTCATGGAGGCGGTAGTGCAGATTTTATCTCCTTCTGATGCGTACACACCCATACCTCTGCTGCTGTTCAGCCAGGAACTCCCATTTCCAAACTGGCAAATCCTGACTGCAAAGCCATAGAGGTCTCCAGTAGTGCATGCCACACTGCCCTCTAGTGACAACCTAGAGATTTCCTTGCTCAAGCCAATGGGCTTTATTTTCAAATTTAGATTTTAGTCTTCTCCTTCCCATAGAAAGATGATGTCCCAACACCTCAGTCTGATGTGTGAGCCTCGCCGGCTAGACACAAAAGTATGGGTCAGATGTCCTTGCCATAGATCCCTCCAGCTTCCTGCAGCCTGGTTGGACCTGGAATTCTCCTATTGGACCCAGCAGTCCCCTATGAGAATAGAGCTTTAAGAATGGCATTTCCAGCCAGGCGGTGGTGGCGCATACCTTTAGTCCCAGCACTCGGGAGGCAGAGGCAGGCAGATCTGAGTTTGAAACCAGCCTGGTCTCCAAGAGCTAGTTACAAGACAACCTCCAAAGCCCAGAGAAACCCTGTCTCAAAAAAACAAAAAACAAAACAAAACAAACAAACAAAAAAGAATGGCATTCCCAAGGATTCTCTGCACAGCAAAAGTTCATCTGTTTTCAATTATAAGTTGAAATTATCCAAATATCCAAATCCTCACTGTTGTTTTTATTTCTCCAGTTAAAGAACAAATACATTAGGAAAATCTCGATTTGTATGTAGTCTACTCTTTCTTACTTGAAAACAGGAACTTTGAAACACAGTGTACTTGGGATACATTCCACTAATTGAAATTTTTACTATATGATCCCTTTTCTTCTGTAGAAAGAAAAGTTGCATGGACTTATAAATTAGTTCTCTGTACTGGTTGTGTGGACTACAATAGCCACTGACCACGGGTAGCTATTTAAATTAATTTAAAATAACTGCATTGGTGCCTTAGTCAGTGTTCTGTTGCTGTGAAGTGACACTGTGACCTCAAAAGTCTTTTAAAAGACAGTGTTTAATTGGGGCTGGCTTACAGTTTCAGAGGTTTAGTCTACTAACTGTGTGGCAGGGAGGTAGGTAGACGTGGTGCTGGAAAGGTATCTGAGAGTTCCACACTCCAGACCCACAGGCAGCAGAAAGAGAGTGACACTGGACCTGCCATGGGCTTTTGAAAGCTGAAAGCCCATCCCCAGTGACATACTTCCTCGACAAGGCTACACCTCCTAATCTTTTCAAAAAGTGCCACTCCCTAGTCATTCAATTATAGGAGCCTGTGGGGGCCATTCTTATTCAAACCACCATATGTGGTCATGTTCAAAATACTTGGCATGCACTGGCCTTTGGCCAGTGGCTTTCTCAGTCAGCAGCATGGGAAGCATTTCCACTGATACAGAAAAATGTGTGGCTTGCTTGGGGCCATCGTAATCTGTCTATACCATCAAATTTGTGAGTGAACAAATTTGAATACCATAGTAGTGGGGAGAGCTAGGCAGATCTGGGTTCAAATTTCAACTTTATCTTGTACTAACTCATATCATGTAGTATGAGTTACACAACACATACACAGAGGGGAGGGGTCACCTTAATGTCTGCTGCGTGGATTCGTAAGGATAGGGTTCACTTTGGAGCAGAGTCCTATGCTTATGGACAGTCCCTATGTCATAGCTACTAGTGCTATTGTGTTGGGGGAGGAGCTCTTGCTTGGCTCCTGTTGGGCAAGATAGGAGGGAGAGAGGGAGGGAGAGAGGGAGGAAGGAAGGAAGGAAGGAAGGAAGGAAGGAAGGAAGGAAGGAAGGAAGGAAGGGTGAAGAAGAAGTTTACAATGTTGCACACTGTCTCCCTCATGCTGAACCTTTGGGTAATACCCCTTTAAGATTCAGAGGTAGGAAGAGTACAGTGACAATGATTATTGGTATAGTGCTTTTAAAGTGGTTTGGGGGCTCTGCCTGGACCGCTCAAGAACACTGTTATATCAAATAGAAAATCGGGGCTGAAGATACAGCTCATGTTTGCCCAGCACTGCATACAAATGGGTGTAGAGGTGCACGCCTGGTACCTCAGCTACATATTCCTAGACTACTTGGGGCCTTATCTCAAAAAGCAATGAAATAAAACAGAAGCAAATGAATTAAGGATTTCTTGAAAGGTTTATAGGGTTAGGTAAAAATGACACACTTCAGTGGAAAGCTTAACATTTTAGGAGAAAACCCCAAAGGCTTGTTCCTTGCCCCTCCCCACCTTCCTTACACTTGGTGATGTTCTTTACAACTTAGGGGAGAAATGTCTTTTCGCACGATTACGTGTTTTGGTGTGGCGATTTCAACTACCGCATTGATCTTACTTATGAAGAAGTTTTCTATTTTGTTAAACGCCAAGACTGGAAGAAACTTATGGAATTTGACCAGTTACAGCTACAAAAGTCAAGTGGCAAAGTAAGTTCTGCTTTTAAGACATTTTCGGTAACTGTCATGGCGTGGAGTGCCGTCTACTAAACGCAGGTACTGGTGTGTTGAAACTGAGTGGCTTTAACTCTGATTGATGGTGTAGAAAACACGTAGGATTTTATGAAGTGAGAAGAAAATCAGGAGAGTACAGTCACACAGACTGCTGAACATAATTAGGCTCTGGCTGGCCACACACAGGGTCCCTGTCTCTTGCTCAGGCTGAGGGGCTGTCCCTGAAGGACAGCATTCAGCACAGAGGAGTGAGGGTACTGACTGTCCACCACCTGTGATGCACTGTCTTACACTTTTAGAGGTGGAGTCCGCTCCTCTGAGGTGCCCCAGAGAGGGTCTGCACTTAGCCGGGGTCGTGGTTGCCTTCTAGAGTCCTGGTATCAGAAACTACTGAGTGACACTTTGGACTTTGCTCATAATGTCTTGGTGCTGTCCCTTTCTTGTTGGTGAGAATGCTAAGAGAATCATTTGCACACTCATTTGTACATAGACTCCTCCAGTGTGTCCTGCAAGTTATACCCCTTTTATTGACAAAACAGAGTTAAGTTGAATTATGTATCATGTAGTCAGCACACCAGGCCACCATTTGCTCCAGAACTGTCCTCCAGAGTGCACATGTGCTGCACCATGGCCCAGGTTTCTGAGGTCTCCAAAGGATATGGCATACATGACACAGGTTCAGGTCCTGCAGTAGTTCTCAACCCCATGGGTCAAGACCCCCTTGAGGGTCACATATCAGCTATTCTTCATAACATGTTTACATTAGAATTCATAAAGGCAGCAAAATTATAGTTATGAGGTAGAAACGAAATAATTTTATGGCTGGGGACACCACAACATGAGAAACTGTATTTTAAAGGGCTGTAGCATTAGGAAGGTTGAGGACCACTGGACTATAGACCTGTCTTCAGTTCTTTAGCATCAGAGCATCCAGCTTCCAGGTGTTCGCAGCTTATCCTCTCCAGCTAAGATTGTTGCTTATTTCAAAGCCCTGCCTTCCTAGCAGCAAATAGTGAGCCTGCCATTTGCCTTTGAGGATGCAACTACTTAAATGCAGGAGGATTTTCCCTCCAAAAAATGAGACTCAGCCACCGCTCGGGAGTTTGCCTAATTGTATAGAGATGAGCCTATCACCCTACAAATGTTTTTTCGGCCTCTACCTAATTCTCACTGCCTTCTCTGCTACATCGAGTGAGAGAGCTTTTTGTATACTGGTGCTGGAATGCCCAGATGAGCACACAGTGATACCTGTCCCGTGATCCCTTTTCTGTCTCCAAGGGTGACAAAGGTGACTGGCAGGAATACAGAAGGGAGAGGGAGGTACTTTCAATGGAGTGTGTGTGCCCAGCTATTAAAATACCTAAACATTCAATATCAGACATATTTGCAAATATAGATTCTATTGCTTTTTAGAACACTTTGGAATGTACCTCCCCCCACCCCAAAGATAGCCATGTAATTTCTTTCTCCAAATAGATTTTTAAAGACTTCCATGAAGGAACTATTAACTTTGGACCGACCTACAAATATGATGTTGGATCAGCTGCTTACGATACAAGTGACAAGTGCCGTACCCCAGCCTGGACAGACAGAGTGCTGTGGTGGAGGAAGAAACATCCATATGATAAGACAGGTGAGTGCCATATGTGTGTCTGAGACAAAATGGGGGCAAATGGGAAATACCACAGGGAAAGAGCCAGTCACTCAGCCCAGGGGCCTGGCTGTGTAGATCACAAATCATTATAGATGTCACCATCTTTGACCCACCTGTATCCTGACTCCTCCCCTCCATCATGGCTGCTCCCACCCACCCTCTGCCCTTCATCCTGGGAAGAAAGAGGAGTGGAGTCATGGGCTGACTCTTACCACTCCTTAAACCACTCGGGTACTTTTTGTCCAACCCAATTCTTACCTCTGAAAGCCTCAATTCTAAGTGATGTATGAGCAAGACTGGATTTTTTTTTTAATCAGTTAGTTGTGAAGTTATTTGGAAGTCATTGATGCCTAGAAGGGAGTGGCAGAGCTCCTTAAAGCTGGGTAATCTGAGATCTAGAACAAAAACAGGCTTTTCCACTTTTTAAGAGGAAGGTCTATGGAGATTTCAAAGCCAGGAAACTAGAGCTACATGTAGAAGAGATAGCTTTTCTTCAAGGTTAGTCTGAGAGCATCCGCATGGTTCCTGGGCACTGAGAGGCAGGGCCTGGTGAGTCGTGGCTTCTAAGCCTCAGCGTCTCTCACCATGCAAAGACTCCAGGTCTCAGAGGTGGAAGACTGCTGCAGCTGGTCCACAGTTTCAGTCATGAGCCAGGAATGGGGGGTGAGGGGGACACACATGAGCCAGAGCCAAGGTAGTTAGGTACAGAGACATTTTGAGATGTCTTTGCTGCAGGCAGCCTCACTTACATTCATATATATGTATATGGTTCTGTGTCTCTTGTTGGCTATTGGCTTCTTGAATGGAACCCCGTGAGCAGCTGGAGAACTCAACCTTCTAGACAGTGATCTAGATGGTGACACCAAAATCAGACATACCTGGTCTCCAGGAACTCTCAAGTACTACGGCCGTGCAGAGCTGCAGGCATCTGACCACAGGTATGGTCCTCTCTGGGTGGAGCATTGGCTCCGCTTCCCCATAGGATACCCACATGCTGTCCCTGTAAGGATTCGAGTGTGTGTGTGGGGGGGGGAGTCTGTGTACCCACCATTGGGAAGTAATTATTGCTAGCATTTTGTCATTGTTCTATATCGTAAGTGATGTTATCTAGGAAAATTTCAAAGATACAGCCTGTACAATGTTGTATCTTCCAAATGTTCCCAACTGTTCCACTGCACAGCTGGCTTTCCTGGCAGTTTTCAAGCTGGAGATCCTGTGCAGCTTACAGATCTGGTCCACTCATTTGCAGCCACTGTCTAGCTCTAGGCAGAGCCACGGGACTGCCCCACTCATCTATGGATGACACTTTTCAGGCAGTATTGGTGTTGTGACGTACATTTTTTGTATCTTGGGTTCAGGTTGCTAGACACTCTGAGATGTCATTTACCCTCAGCCACTGTGGGCTAAGAATGGTAGGAGACAGTAGGTGGCAGGAAGGGAGAGGGCAGTCTGACGGTCGCCTCTGGGGGATTTATTTGCTTGTTGAACACCTTAGAAGGTGGCAGCATAAGACAGTACAAGCAAGGAAGGTTTAATTATCCTGCAGTTGCTACCAGTATTGTGTAAGTTTCAGGAAGGAGGGAGTGAGGGAACGGAAGAAAGGATGGAGGGAAGGAAGGAAGGAAGGAAGGAAGGATGAGGAGAGTGGTAAAAGTGAGGCAGTTAGTAAGTCGGAACTTTGGGTCCCAATTCTTTTATCCCCTCCCATCAGGAATCAGTTTTTTTGTTTGTTTTTTTGTTTTGTTTTGTTTTTTTGGGTTTTTTTTTGGTTTTCGAGACAGGGTTTCTCTGTGTAGCTTTGGAGCCTATCCTGGCACTCGCTCTGGAGACCAGGCTGGCCTTGAACTCACAGTGATCCACCTGCCTCTGCCTCCCGAGTGCTGGGATTAAAGGTGTGCACCAACAACACCCGGCAATGGAAGCAGTCTTGTATGGGAATCTGTCCTAATTTCTGGCATTTCCTCATAATCAAATCCTAGAAAATGAGCTCTCTACACAAAAAGGGACAGGGCTTTGAGATTCAGCATGGGTTGCCATGGAGCCATGTGGAGAACTTATGCTCTAGGAGATGTGATGCCTAGGACTGGCAGCCTGTGGGCTAACAGCTCTGGGGGACAGAGGCCGGTCGGAGACTGGGATGTGACACCTGCCTAGGCCAAACATTCGCTACCATTTCCTCTTCATATCTGATACAGACCTGTGCTGGCCATCGTGGAGGTGGAGGTGCAAGAGGTTGACGTGGGAGCCCGGGAGAGGGTTTTCCAGGAGGTGTCCTCTGTCCAGGGCCCAATGGATGCCACTGTTGTTGTGAACCTTCAGTCGCCAACCCTAGAAGAGGAGAACGAATTTCCCGAGGACCTGCGCACAGAGCTTATGCAGACGTTGGGGAATTATGGGACGATTATTCTGGTCAGGTAACCCACCCCTCAGATGTACGTTTTGGAGTGTCTGCAGTATCCGGGAGAGTTGCATTAAGATCCTAGTGTTGACGGCTTGTCTCTATCATAGGATCAACCAAGGGCAGATGCTGGTGACCTTCGCAGATAGCCACTCGGCTCTCAGTGTGCTAGATGTGGATGGTATGAAGGTGAGTGGCTCCAGCCAGTGCCCTACCTATGTCAGCGCCATGGTGCATAGAAGCTGGGATTCTCCATCTGGGTCTTGTGTCTTGGAGCTGGAAGTGTGGTTCCCGCTGAGCCTTAGCTCCCTCCTGATGGAGAGCACTTTCCTCCTTTCTCCTAAGACTGTTTTGGGGCATGCAGCTCACACTTAGTTCCATTGTGATGAGATCCTGGTTTAAATTTGCATAGAAGGAAAAGTTGGAGGTGTTAGTTCAATTTCTATTCTAACTGAATGTGTGTGAGCTCTACTGAGATCACCTGAGGTCTGGACTTTGGGTTCCCTTAGCAAACTGTGATGAATGCACAGGTTTCAGAGAGAAGCATTTTGCGACTGAAGGGAACTGGTGACTTCTCTGTTCTCACTTGCTGACTGGCCTCCCAGGTGAAAGGCAGAGCCGTGAAGATCCGACCAAAGACCAAGGATTGGCTGAAAGGCTTGAGAGAGGAGCTCATTCGGAAGCGGGACAGCATGGCCCCTGTGTCTCCCACCGCCAACTCCTGCTTGTTGGAGGAGAACTTCGACTTCACGAGTCTAGACTATGAGTCAGAAGGTGAGTGACCCTGACAGGAAGGACAGGCAAAAAGTTCTAGTGATGGGCAGGCCTTGCCCAAGACCCCACCTCACAAAAGTTACTGAGGACATGACAAGTGTGAAAGTTGCATCTGTGTGTTAGCTGTGGATCACATCCATTTGTCCCAGTGGTCACACATGGGGATGGTGCAGGGAACTGGAAAGGGACAAGGTGTCCTCATGTATATTAACAGGGGCTTAGAGGCTGCTAGCGAAGGGCATGAATTTAGGTGGGAAGCTGGCCTGGGCACCTGTGTTAGTTACGTTGGCTTCACTGTGTCCAAATTCCCGACACAGAAAAAGAGAGGAATTCTTTATTATTTTTGTTTGTTTGTTTGTTTTTGGTTTTTCGAGACCGGACAGGGTTTCTCTGTGTAGCTTTGGAGCCCGGCTGAATTCTTTATTTTGGTTCAAAGTTCATAGCTGTCTTAGTGAAGGTTCCCATTGCTGTGATAAAAAGCAACTTGGGGGCAGAGTGGTGGTGGCACACACCTTTAGTCCCAGCACTCAGGAGGCAGAGGCAGGCGGATCTCTGTGAGTTCGAGACCAGCCTGGTCTACAAAAGCTAGTTCCAGGACAGCCTCCAACGCCACAGAGAAACCCTGTCTCAAAAAAAATAAAATAAAAAGCAACTTGTGGAGGCCCAGGTTAGTTCCAGCTTACAGTTCCACGTCACAGTGCATCATGGGAGGAAGTCAGGCAGGAGCTCGACACTGGAGCTGAGGCAGAGGCTGTGCAGGAATGCTCCTTACTGGCTTGTGCCCCATGGCTTGCTCAGCCTGCTTTATTATAACATCTAAGACCATGGGCCTCTGAGTCAGGCAGGCCCTCCCACATCAATCATCAGTTAGGGAGATGTCCCCCAGACTTGTCTGGAAGCAATCTTATGGAAGCATTTCTCAATTGAAAGTCCTTCTTCCCAAATGACTCTAGCTTGTGTCATGTTGACATAAATCCAACTAGAACAAAAGCCTTTGGCTCCATTGACTCTGGGTCTCTGGCAAGGCATGAACTTCATGGCACTGGAGCATGTGACAGTGGCTACTCCCCTCCCAGTGCACAGGGAGCAGAGAGAAAATACTAGTGTCCCCACAGATACTATCTCGTAGGTAACCCTGAAGCTAATCAAACTGACAGCCAGCTAGACAGTCTCACTGATGGAAGGCTGGGCTGCTACATCCTAATTACTCTCACCCTCATGTGACTTGTTCTTCCTCGAAGGGGATGTTCTTGAAGACGATGAAGACTATTTAGTGGACGAGTTTGGCCAGCCTGTGGTCTCAGATGGTGAACTTGGCGGAGATGACTCTTCTGATATCATGAGCTCCTCAGCACCATCCAGCAAATCTCCTGCACTAGCTAAAAAGAAGCAACATCCAACATACAAAGGTAGCTGCTCCCCTGCTTTCCTGGGGTAGGGTTGGAACAGTGTCCTCTTTTTTCCAATGTTTGCCCCATGCCACATCTAGCTGGAGATGCCAGTACTGTCCTTTGTGAGCTGTGACTCGAGGGGCACAGCTCTGTAGAAACTGATTTTACATCTGTGACTTTGTCCCACAGTACTTTTCTGATTGAATCTCTGAAGAAATATATTGAATGTCGACACCCTGATACATTGTTTCACTCACATAAAGACATATTATACAGTGGCATCATTACATTTTAGAATATGCAGGATGAATTCATATCCTGCATTAAATGGCAGAGTGTTAGTTAGATTCAGTTGTCTCTGATCTATCCAAAATTCCCCACCTGCCTTCCACGGTCAGTCACTGGAAAGAAGCATTAGCCAGCAAGTTCAGGACCCTTGAGCTAAGGCTGGAGATGTAGAGCATGCTGACAAGGAATTAAGGGATTTCCTTGTCAAGAGAGTGGTCCAAAGACCCCCATATGTTCCTTTGATTAGATAATGGTCCTCAGGCTGATCAGTACTTGCCACTCTGGCACCACTGGTTGGTTTTAACATCTTGAGATGCAGATTTGATAAGGTGTGTGGGGCAGTGTGTCCACGGGCAGTTCTGGTGGCTGGCACCAGGTCAGCATCAGTGACCTTTACATCCCTCTGCTCTTCTCTCCTACAGCTTTGCCCACTCTTGTTCTTTTCAGAGGAATGTCCCAGGCCAGGCATGGCATTAGGCACTCAGGAAGTGGCTAGCTTAAGCTTCTAGTATCCAAGAGCTTGCCACTGGGTGCCAGGCTAGCAAAGAGGGGAAACTCTCAACTTCCGAATCAGCTGTCACATTTTAGAATGAGGAATTAGGCTCTCCTCCCTACGGTGGGGTCCGTCTCAGCAGCTCTGATTTCACTGTGTTGTTTGCTTGTGTAGACGTGTTGGCTGATCCTTTTGGAAGGAAATGGGTCTATACATTAAAACATGCCAGGGTTTCTTAAGTCTGATAAACCAGGCCCACAGTTAATTGAGTGTTCTAAGCAGGCATTGGGTATACCCTCACCCCTGCAGAGGGGCTCTCACTTCTGAATCGGACTCTCCGGGTATCCCATGATGCTTCTGTCTCCTGTGGCTGGCGTGCTCTGTGCACAAAGCCATTTCTGACCCTTGCGTTTGGAAGAGACCGCTTTTCTCACAGCTGCCATGTCCTCCAGACGATGCTGACCTGGTGAAGTTAAAGCAGGAGCTGGAAGTTGTTGGGGATTTTCGCCACCGTTCTCCAAGCAGGTCCCTGTCTGTCCCCAGTAGGCCTCGGCCACCTCACCCACCACAGAGACCCCCCCCTCCAAGTAAGACTTTGCTTGCTATGAGCTTGCCACAATGCCTGCTGGGAATAACCGCACACCTCCTGCTATTGAAAACACAGTTCTAGACTGCCGCTGAGTCCCTTCTGACGCTCTTCCCACCCCCACCCCACCCCATCCCTGGGGCTCCTTGTTGTCCAGCTCTAGGACATGTTCCCTGTAGGAGGTCATTGGCTTCTCAGGGCATGTGAAACAAAGCCATTTTAAGGCTGTTCATACAGGAATTTGGCTTTTGCTTCCAGACACCTTAAATCGTTAACGTAGAAATGGCCATAGCCCTTCAGGGAATTTTTCTAACCTTTCAGTCAGACACTTGTTTCTTTGACAGATGCCCAGAGCTGCTCTTTAGGAATCTGGTTCACCCAGAGTCCCAATCATGCATGCCGCTAGCCCAGGCCATGATCTACCTCCTACTTTTGTGTTTCTCGATCTCTGGGGATGAGCCCTGTTTTACCCAGGCTCTCCCAGGATGCTGGTCCAGCCTCTGTGCTCTCCCAGGATGCTAGTTCAGCCCCTCTGCTCTCCCAGGATGCTGGTCCAGCCCCTCTGGCAATGCTTCTCCCATCAAACTTGCCTTTATCTCAAAATAACCTTGTGGCTTGCTTCTGATTTGTTTCTGTTTTACACCATCACAGTTTCCTTTCCCCCAAACCATGAGAGTCAAACACAGACTTTTCTAAGCCATTCCTTTCAAACTCTGGTTCGCCCATAGCTAGCCTATAGCAGTAATCAGTGTCAAGTTACAAGCATATCGTCACTTTTGTGAACTTACACTCAGGAAATAGAAATGATAATTTGTGGCCAGAGACTGCAGCAAGAAGGTGAAGAGCTTAGGGCCCGTATAGGCTACTTAGTGAGACTGTGTCTCAAAAAAAGTAAATTAAAAATTATTTAAATAAAATTTACAAATCACACTATTTTAGAGCTTTAATAAAAATAAAGAATTATAGACAAGAACAAGATTTAAAAGTTACTTGGCTACCTAAAAGTAACAGTTCTAATCAAAAACACTTCCATTGTTTTTCCAGTTGTATACATGGGCATCTGTTCACTATTTTAAAAGAAAAGAATGAAGGGCTGGAGCTGTGTGTCAGCCTAATTTGCATGAAGCACTGGGTTCGATCCCTAATTCTGCCAAAAAGAAAATTTTAACAAATTGTTATCACTTTTGCTTGGTCACTTGATTTTTATTTCACCGACCATCTAAGACATAACTCATTAATGGTTAAAAGCAAAATGTAACGTAATTTATTTCTCCTGAGTTGGGGACTCCAGGACTTTTATTGTCTCTCAAACATTAAAAAAAAAAAAAAAAATGTCCTAAGGCTAGGGAGATGGCTCAGCGTGTAAAAGCACTTGTCACACATGCCTTATGGCCTTCCCACTGTGATGTGCACCTCACATCAGAATCCATATAAAAGGCATGTGCTGGAGTGCTGTCTTTAATCCCAGCATCCTTACTGCATGATGGGAGGAGGAGGAGAAAGGGGGATCCCCAGAATCTTGACAACCAGCCATCTTGGAGTGTGCAGTGCACACAGTGGGAGACCCTGCCTCAAACTAGTTGGGAGATAAGGACCAACACCCAAGGCTATCCTCTGTCCTTACACATGTGGATGTCCTCATACACAAACACATACTTTATACACACACCCACAAACACACACACACACACACACACACACACACACACACCATTGTTTAACAACATTTGAAATAGATTGGTCCTGATGATGTGTTTTAAGCCACTTAAACATCAATTGGTCTGTATATAAGATTAGAAACCCCCTGAGTGTTAGATTTAAATTTGCATTCCAGTCCTGCTGCCCTAGACAGTCTGTGTCAATAGGCCAAGCTATCAGAGAACCCAGGAAAGCTGCTTTGTTTCTTGTGGATGCTAGGGATGGAGCCAGGGGCCTCATCCATGCTGTGTGAGCGCTCTACTGCTAACCCACAGCCCCAATGGGTCTGCACTTCCAACCATGACTGTGTCTGCCTTTGCTGCTGCCTCCTCCCAATTTCTTGTAGCTAGCTAGCATGTCCCAAGTCACTGAAGCTGATGCTGTCTTTTCACAGCCGGTTTAGTGGTGAAGAAGTCAGCCTCGGATGCTTCCATCTCCTCTGGCACTCACGGGCAGTATTCAATCCTGCAGACTGCAAAACTTCTTCCAGGAGCACCTCAGCAACCAGTGAGTCCTTTGACTCCCAGGGAAGTGGTTAGCATGTCAACCCCGAGGGAGTGCTCCACCCCAAGGTCATGTGGATCACGCCTTTTCAAGAAATGTATAACTCTTGTCCACTTAACCCTCTCCCTGCCCATCACTCATCCCGAAACCCCTAACACTCTTCTTTACAGGACTTTATATTGTTCAGAGCACTGTAGAAGACACTTGGGATAAACAACCCCCAGTGTCCCTGTGAAGAAAACTGCCCACTTCCAGACTCCTCTTTCATTCCTGCAATTCTTAGCTACACCTAGATCTATAGAGCATTGAGTGGTAAAGGGAAAAGGAAAAATTCAGATATGTTTGGCCATTGCAAGGGGAGGAGGCAGGGGGACCACCCTGGAGGAGTCCTGAGCCACTAATGGACATGCAGATGAAGGTCAGTGGCAAGGAAGTGCAGGCTGTGCTGATGTGCCCAGGAAGCAACACAAGCTGGCAAGCTGGGCCAGGCTGGCTGTGCAGTCAAGGCAGGCTGAAGCATTGACTAGATTCCAGAATGTACAGTAATGAAAGTGGCTCTTGGGTGACCCAGGAGTTGAGGGAAGAGGTAGAAGATTCTGTTAGGAAACAAGAATCCAGGAGGTGTTTTCATATCCACATGGATCATGAAGGCACTGCCTGAGATTGTGCTCTCCAGCTCTACCTGGCTATGGAGCGCCACATTACAAAAGCCCTGTCTGTTATCACCCTGTTTGGGAGCTGAAGGTCTTCAGCTCTGGCCTTTATTGCATTCCTCTCTTGGTGGGTGGAGAAGGGCATTGAGAGATGTGGTTTAGACTTAGTGGGTGTGTCCATCACCCGATGGGGTTCTGCATAGCTCACAGCCACATGCGGACCACCTGCCGCCTCTACAGACAAGCAGGTGATGCACACACTGTGTGCCTCAGAGGCTCAGTTCCTGCCTCTGTTAATCCATGTCTCTTCCTGATTGTGCCTTCAAGCCCAAGGCTAGAACTGGAATAAGTAAACCCTACAACGTCAAGCAGATCAAAACCACCAATGCTCAGGAGGCAGAAGCAGCGATCCGGTGTCTCTTGGAAGCTAGTGGAGGTAGGCTCTCTTGGGAACCACCTCCCTGGCCAAAAGGGAGCGCGCCGAGTCCCTTTCTATCCTCTTACTGATAGCGGCCTAGAAACTATCTCTCTCTCTCTCTCTCTCTCTCTCTCTCTCTCTCTCTCTCTCTCTATGTAAATATGTAAATGTTAATTGGTAGTAGCCTTTAGTACTTTATCTTTGATATGTTTCCACTTAAAATTATATACCCAAAATGCAGGAAGTATATAAGCCGTAACCCCGTGATGATTAGGCAGCATTTTAGAGAGAAACAAATGAAACTTTTAATGTTGGGCCACTGAGCCTGATGACCTGAGCTCAATCCCAGGACTCATGTGATGGAAGGAGAACTGATTGCCCCCAGTTATCTTGTGACATTCTCAAGTGCAGCATGGCATTTCTGTGTCCCTCCATATACAATAAATATATAAATATAAACATGTTTAGGAAAAGGTTAGAGTTGCAGGAAGTAACTCATTCTGCCAGCTGGGTGACAAAGGACCTTTGTGTATTATGTCCCTGCTGCAAACACAAAATCCACCTTGTAAGTATCGGGCAAGTGTAAATAAAGCGTGTGCTTCAGGCTGGGCATCTCCCCGCCACACCACTGTTAATTTTCTGTTGCTCCTCAATTAACCCTTGTTGTCCTACTTGGAATCCTCCCGTTCTTTTACATCACTGCTGCTAACAACTGCTGTTTTTGTTTTGGGCTATAATCCAAAATCTCTTTTGGAGAGATTATACCCTTTGTAAAAAAATAAGGGCATATTATAATAGCCCAATTATATTATCCACGGTCTTCATCTGACTTGGGGTTCTTAACACTCTAAAGGAGGGCAGAGGGCCTGGGTTAGAAACCTGAGAAACATTGTTGAAGGATTACACAGCCCAGGTGGTTTTGTTTTTTATTAACTGATACATGAATAAAAATTACAGTACATTCATAAAGTGGAGTATCAGTCATAGAAATGTAGTGGCACAAACTATAGTGAGGGTTAGCCTTGGAAATGTTACGCTGAGTGAAAGAACTGAGACATGCAATCACGTGCTGGGCTATTCCACACGTGCATGATGTCTGTGGAGACATGGAATCACATACTGTGTTATTCCACATACATGATGTTTGTGTAGACACAGAATCACATATGTGTTATATTCCACACGTGCATGATGTCTGTGGAGACATGGAATCCCATATGTGTTATTCCACACATACATGATGTTCGTGTAGACACAGAATCACATATGTGTTATATTCCACATGTACATGATGTCCGTGGAGACATGGAATCACATATGTGTTATTCCACAAGTACATGATGTCTGTGGTAGGTAGATCCACAGAGACAGAAAGCTGTAAAGAGGAATGGGTATCTTTTGGCAGAACAAAAATGTTGTGGAATTGGTTAGTGTTAATGCCTGTGCTGCTCGGTAAATACATTAAAAACCATTAAAATGGGAAATTTTTAAGGCAGGGAATTCTATTTCAGTGACACATAAAGTGCAACCAGCTCTAGAGACGCGTACTGGCGATGTTTGAGGTTTGAAGTGTGCCACCATCTCCATGTGACACTGTCTTGTTCATGCTCTTGTTGAGGTTCTGTTGCTTTGTGGGTCTTCTTTCTTGAGAAACATCTGACACTTTCTGTATGGTATCAGGGTCTTACTGATCTTTCCTCAGGTTCCATGGGTCCCAGGCCCCAAACCTGGCTATCTAGTACTCAGTAGCCCTAAAGACCTGTCTGTAGCTGGAAGTAAACATATTCATATGGATTCATATGGCTCTGAGGTGTAGCCTCTCTAAATGTTAGGTCGTGCTGGGGATTCCATCACCTCCTGCTTGAGCTGAGTGATTTTGTTTCAGGTATCCCAGAACTGGCCCCAGGTGCCATGCCCCTGAGAGGCCAAGGGTCTTCTAAGCCAGAGGCCTCCCTGGACCCTCCAGTCCTCCCCCGCCGGCCTGCTCCTAGGGTTCCTGCCATCAAAAAGCCAACATTGAGGAGGACAGGAAAGGTAAGAAGCCGAGATGTGTGAGCCACTCATTCCAAGGTTGCTCAAGGCCATGTTACATGAAGTTATGCCAAGGACAGACATGAAGTTGGATTTGGTTTCTCTGCCCACACTTGAATCCCAGACTTAGCCCATGTCTAAAGGAGAAAACAGCTCGTTTGGCAACTGCTTTTCCCTCATCTTCCTGCTGTATCTTGGCCTCAGCTGAGCAGAAGAAGGAGCTGACTGTCCTTTGCAGGTTCTCACTCTGACAGACTGCTTCCTGAATGTTCCCAGTTCACAGGGAACTGCCGCGGGTGCTTTCTGCCCAGTGGTCCAGGCTGCTGTTTGTGTGCAGGAAGTGCATGTGGCTTCACATGCATAGACTAAATGCATTCGAAAAGCACTATGGGGGGTAGGGAGGATGACTCAGTGGTAAGAGCACGTGCTGCACCAGCCTGAGGACCTGAGTTGGGATTCCATCAGCCATGTAAAAAGTAACATACAGGTGTACATGTACCTGTAACCCCAGAGATGTAGAGGGCAGAGGCAGAAGCAGGATTGCTGGGGCTTAATGGCTGCCAGCCTAGCTCCAGATTTAGTGAGAGACTCTGTCTCAAAGGAATAAATAATGTGGGGAGTGATAAAGGAGGACATCCCAGCTCCTCCAGGCTTCCCTGTACAGATGTACCCCACACCCATATAACACTCCCTCCCTCCTTCCCTCCCTCCCTCCCTCCCTCCCCCACCCCCCCCTCCCTCCCTCCCTCCCTCCCTCCCTCCCTCCTCTCTCTCATGCACGCACACATGCACACAGAAAAACCATAACCAGCTCCTAGATTAGCAGTTTTTACTCTGCTCACACAGCCGTGGGGCTCATGCAGGCTTACAGGACAGTGGCCTCCTGCAGGCCAGACAGCTTCTCACCACTTTTCTTGCAGATCGTTTTCTGCTCTCGCTCGCAAGCTTCTCAGCCTTGCTTATTGCTGCAGAGACATGAGTTTGTAAGGACAGTAGCTGCACAGAGACTGACACCTGTAGATACCTCTGGATCTTCTGTTTGATCTCAGTTCTAGGAGCAAGCCACTTGGTAATCCCTGCCAGGGCACCATAGAGTGACTATTGCGTTTCCAGCCTGCCCAGCGTGAGAGGTCGCTCTGGCATGTGCCTACTTATTAAGTTCGCTTTCTGTCTTCTGGGTTGTGCTTCTGTCCTGCTGCATTGGTGTGTTGCTGTCTGTTCATTTTCCATGTTTTGTTGCAAAATGAACTCCCCCTCCTTTCCTGTCTGCAGGAGCAGAGTTGGGTTGTTTCTTCAGTGGCTGCACAGGAATTTTGGTACGAGGCTGGTGGAGAAGGCTTATGCTTTCTGTTGGTTTTCTTTCTTAAGAACAAAAGGAAACAATGGACCAGAACCTGGCCTAACTCCCTGGCCCCATTGGTACCAAAGCTTCCCTTGGCACCATGTAGTTTAAAAGCAGAGCTAAAGAAGTGGGGCTCCTGTGTGAGGTTCTCCCTCCTTCTGTATTGAAATACAAAAGATCCAAGGAGAAAGGAGAGCTGTTGGTCCTTCCAGCTGCAACGTGTTCCCTCCCAGGGTGTTTCGGTGCACGCTGAATTACCTGCTTAGGCCTTGCAGCCTCATAATGAATGTTTCAGAAGGGTTCTCACTGAATGAAGGAAGAAGGACATTGCCCCATTTTGTCAGGCAACCAAGACAACTTCTTCATAAATTACCCACTGTGGCTCTGGTTTTAAATCTTGGTGCCCATGCTGGCCCATGTGCTTCTCCTGTACCCCCTCACTTTACGGGCTTCCAGACAGTCTCTTAACTGGTTGCCTCAGCCTCATCCATCTCTATTCCCTACTGAGTGTTGTCTGAGTGCCCACTCCTTACATGCTGGCTTCACATTTACACTCTTTCTTGCCTCTTTTCAGCCCACATCACCAGAAGAACAGTCTGAACAGCAGCCTGTCCATTTTACAGTCGCTTCCAAGGAGATGAGCCTTGAGACCCCGCTTCGAACGACAGCCCCTCAAGTCCTGCCTGTTCCCAAGCCAAGAACATTTCTACCTGGGAAAGGTGTTGAGAGGAGGCCAAGCAGAGGCAAGACAGCACTGGATGAAGTTCCTCCTGTGGCAGGTGCTACAGAGTTATCACCTCCAGAGGCCCCGTCTCTGGCTCCCAAGGTGCCCCCGAGGAGGAAGAAGTCTGCACCAGCAGCATTCCACCTGCAGGTCCTGCAGGACAACAGCCAGCTTCTCCAGGGCCACACGTGCCCCAGCAGCTCTCTGCCCCCGCTGCAGCCCGAAGCCCACCCACTCTGTCCGCAAGCTGGTCTTCTTGGCACCTCATCCGCCATAAGCCCTGAAACTGATGACCCCAGAGTGGCGGAGCCCAAGGCAGTCTTCTTCCATGGTGATGATCCGGATCCCTTCTGGAACCTTCTCCACCACCCTAAGCTGTTGAATAATACCTGGCTGTCCAAGAGTTCTGACCCTTTAGACTTGGGGCCCAGGAACTCTGAGAGGACAAACACAGACCCAGCACAGGTCAGTGTCTCAGTGGCTGAGAGGGGGCTCCCACCAGACCATGGGGGAAAAGACTTTAGTCACTGGTTGGCAGCCAATAACAAAGACAAGAGGACAACATTAGGTGTTTGATCCATGGGCAAGAACATGCCCTCTCAACTTTGAAGATACTCTTGTTCCAGATGTTCGCCTTCCTCATGTGGGCACCGCTCGACCTGGTCAAAAGGGGTTATTGGTTAAAAGTTGTGCGTCTGTCCCTCGTGTGTAGTTTATAGAAACTGTCTCCCAGTCAGTATAGTTATTCAGCAGTCACCAAAGTGTTTTGTTCAAGACCTGTGCATTCTAAGCTTGCTCTCAGGGGAATAGGATTTGCGCTGTTGGATTCAGCATATGGATTTTAAAGGAAAGAAATCTAGCTGTCCAAGATGCTCTCACTTACTGAATTTTAAATGGTTGTTCAACTTAATGTGTGTGTGCCATTTGCTTGTTGGTTTTGGTTGTGTTTTACAGATTTGGGGTAAGTGGTGGGTTCATAAAGCATAACATTAAAAGCAGTTGGGACCATTAAGAGCTGTTCTGGCCCACTTTAAACCAGGCTAAGGAAGAAAAAAAAAATCAGGTTGAAAACAGCAGATAGGTCAACAGCATGGCTGGATCTCGTATTCTTGTGAGCCCTTTTTTTATGGAGTTGCCTTTCATAGCTGCTGGAGCTGCTGCTTCAGGCTCAGGCAGAAGGAGCCCATCTACAATGAGCATGCGTGTTCTGTTATTCCCTAAACACTACAGTGTAACAGGTGAGTTGTATGGACACAACTGCACACATACAAGAGTATGTGTAGGAACTATAGAAATACTGTGCCACTGGGGGACTTGGGCATCTAAGGATTTGGGTACCTCAGGGTGTCCTGGAACAGATCTCCCACAGAAAATCAGGCAACTCCCCGTGGGTATTAACTTTGATTGTGTGAGTCCTGTGGAAGCTGGTGGCAATTCCATTTTGGATGTGACCTGTGCATGAGTTTACACTCCACTCAGATATGGACCAGCTGCCTCCTGCATGCCCTGTACACGGCCATGGTCTTGAGCTGTGGTGTGCTGCGTAAACCAGTTTATATTCACCCCTTGGATGGAAGCTCCTCCATATTGTCCATGTCCCATAAAGGCACAAAAGGTGAAAACTCACACTGGGCCACAATGACTGATTTTCATTGGTGTAGGATATAATGTCTTCAGGAAGGAGTGTACCACATGACTCCGAAAGGGAGCGCCTCCAGGACATGCAGTGTGGGCTTGGTATCTGCATGTCTGTTGGGTCTATTGTCTCCCCATTTTCATGCATTTCCAACACTTCTGTACAAGAACTGACAAAAACACCAGGATGCTGTTTTATATTTTCAAAATACTGTGGAGCCTAGAATCTATTTGAAGCAGGTATCACATTTTTGTGTATAGAAAGTTCATTAGCTGAGGAAGACTGAAAGATAGGAAGGTCACAAGGTCAAGACCAGCCTAGGCAACAGAGCAAGGTCCTTTTCCAGAAAGAAGGAAATTCATTAGCAAATCTTATGATACCAGCTGCCATCGTTAGGAGACTTTCTCATCATAGACCGGTACAGCAATGCCCAGTGTTGTCCTGCAGTGGATGCCGGTGGGTGGGCTAGTCATAGCCACTTCGCCTGGAGCATGCCATTCACTCTTTTTACCACCAGACTCCTGGGATCTCAGAAATCATTTTATGAGTTATTTAAACCTGGCACTCAAGAACAAAACTCCAAGTGTCCACATTCATCAGAAAACTGATGAGAGAAAAAGGAGCCACTGACTTACAAAGATTGAGTAGATAATATGCATATTTGGCAGTTATAAAAGATGGTATGGGGGCTTGGGGAGAGTTGGCTCAGCAGTTAAGAGCACTGGCTGCTCTTCCAGAGGACCTAGACTTGAATCCCAGCACCAACATAGTGGCTCACGATCATCTGTAACTTCAATTCCACAGGATCCAATGTTCTTTTATGGCCTCTAAGAGCACTGTATGCTCAGACACACATGCAGGAAAAAAATGCCAACAAACAAAAATAAAGGAAACAAAGATGGTGTGGAGATGATCGGAGTGCTTTCTGTGGTGCACAAGAGCTTTGTAAAGGATTATGTGGTTCACCTCGAGTGTGTTCTACAAATAAAAACCTAGAATGCATCAGAGGAGGCAGGGAGGGTGAGCTGCTTGGCAATGTTAAAGGATTGGCCACGATATTTCTTCCCACAAGTGCAGTCATGGTCGAAGAGTCTTTTGGTTTTTGGTTTGTTTAACTCAGATGCCCTCTTCCTGTATGTACCTTCTTTTCCCGCCACAGAGGAGGTATATTTGATGGCAGATAAATGTAACCCACAGTTGGAAAGGCAGCAGGGATGTCAGCCCCACAAAGTGGCTTGTGGCAAGGGAAGAACTCCAGCTTGTAGTTTTCTTCTTCGTTCTACATAGCAAAGGGCTGGCGCAGAAGCCAGGAGCCCACGAGGCAAGTGCTCATCAGAGAAGCAGCCATTCCTGGGAGTCTCAAAGTGAAGAACCCACACCCAGGACTGTAGGCCAAAAGGAAAAGTGCAGAGTTAACAATTGAAGAGTCCGAGCAGTGGTAGCACATGCCCATAGTCCCAGCACTCAGGAGGCAGAGGCAGGTGGATCTCTGTGAGTTCGAGGCCAGCCTGGTCTACATAGTTCCAGGACAGCCAGAGCTACATAGTGAGACCCTTTCCCTGGGGGGGAAGGAGGGGAAGGACAGTTGGAATGGCCTTATTTTAAAAAACAGCATTTATTACTAATTGGAGAATGTCTTAAGCCAGTAGCAGTAGGTTGCATAACTTCATTCTGTGCTGGGTTTGGTTTTGGTTTGGTTTAGGTCTGCCTTAGTTAATGAGACTGCACACAGCCAACTGCTTTGAAACATGCCGCAGTTCAGTATTTCAGGTATGATACTGACAATTTCACATGGTCTCTTTTTAGACTTCCTACACGTTACAAAAAAAAAAAAAGTGACTGAAATTAGGAAATCTCAAGAAATTTCTACAAAGGTTTAAAGTTGCTTAAGTTTGAGATACTTAAAAAACAAACAAAAAAAACCTTCCCAACATGTATGAGTGCTAAAGCATTGGCTTTAGAATGGTCATTTCTTTCGGAAGGAAAACTGAAGGTTATACCCAGAGACTAGCAATATTAAGTCTGCACTGTGTACTGGGTTGGTAATCTGTCCTGATTGTTGGATATGTTATTAATCATTTCTGTCTTTTTAAAATTGGAGTTCCTTTCAGATATGAAGAGAACCCTGGACTCGTCTTTGACCAACCTTCCTCTACATCAAATGCAATTGCTAGTTTTTGTTTTTCAAGACAGGGATAGGGTTTCTCTGTGTAGCCCTGGCTGTCCCAGAACTCACATAGATCAGCCTGTGTCTGCCTCCTGAGTGCTGGGCTTAAAGGTGTGCACCACCACAGACATGGGCAGAATTTAAAACTCTTGTCTGTTTCCGTGAGAAATGTATGCACAGTTCATCCATTCCTCAGTCTGCCTTAAGGGCCTTGAGGAGACAGAGGCTCTCCAAGTCTCACACACAGTGGAGCCTAACTCCCATGTCTATGGTCCATGAGAGCAGCTTTCACACGATACAGTGTGAAAGGCTTTTTATTTTTTTTCTTTACATTTAGTTACTGTAGGTCAGAAGACAACGTTAAGAGTTATTCCCTCCATCCACTTGTGAGTCTTAGAGGTCAAACTCCGGTCTTAAGGGTTGGCAGCAAGCACTTCTAGCTACTGAGCCACCTCTTGGACTCTGAAGCCATAAATTCTCAACCTTCAGCCTGGTCTATAAGAGTGAGTTCCAGCACAGCATCCAAAGCCACAGAGAAACCCTGTCTCGAAAAACAAAACAAAAAACTTCCAACCTTATTATCCTCCTGTTTTATTTCTAATGAGTTTTGATTATTGCAACGCAAAATACAACATCACCATACAGTAACAACTAGTGATTGCAGTTGGGCATGGTGACACACACCTTTAATCCCAGCACTCAGGAGGCAGAGGCAGGCGGATCTATGTGAGTTCCAGGCCAGCTCGGTCTACAGAGTTAGCTCCAAGACTGTTAATGGAGAAACCTTGTCTCAAAATAAAATCTGCCCATGTTTTGTTCTAAGCTAAGTAGTCACAAAATACAGTGACTAATGTCATGTTTCTCAGGAGTAAGACAATACTGGTCATCTCAAAGTGATAAAAAAGGAAGAACTCGCTTTGTCTGAGGACTCGGACCTGGCCAAGGGAGGGACAGACTGCAGATTCTTTGTTCCAAAGTGGTAGGAACCAGACTCAAACTCACTGCAATGCAAACTCTTGCCTGGGCTGGGCTCGGCTCAGCAGCATAATGCGTACAAGGAGTGATGTCAATAATGCTAAGAAATGCAGGGTTCCCATATACTACCTTCTCCCACAGGTAGCACCTGCACTGATATTCTGCACCAGGATGGTTGCAATTGATAAACCTAAGCCTGATGTCATTGCCTCTGATGGCCCTGGCTTCACATTAGGCATCACTGCCCTGTGTATTCTAAGGTGTGATGACACGTGGTCCACCATTGCACTATTGGAGCTGTTTCACTGCCCTAAAAAAAAAAAAAAAAAAAAAAAACCAGAACCTTGCTCCTATGCATCTCCCAACCCCAACTCCCAGGAACCCCATCCCTGTCTGTTGTTGCCCTCAGATTTGCAGCCACATACTACGTGACTTTTCCGTGCTGGCTTTTAAAACCTAGTGACAGGAATGTAAGGGTCCTTCTGTCATTTCATGGGCTGACAGCACGTTTCCTGTTAGTACTGAGTTTTCTACTGTCAGGATGTACCAGTCGTCAACTGAAGATCGTGGCTGCTCCTAAGCTTTGTCAATTGTGGATGAAATTGCTATAAATATCAAGGTATGGGGTTTTGTGTGGGTATAATTTTCTACTCACCTGGTTACATACCAAGGCTAAGAGTGTGTCTCCTAAGAAATTGCCAAATGATTTTTCAAGTAGCTGTGTCATTTTACATTCCTATCAGAATCTCTGTGGCCCTACATCCTTGTCCATACTTGGCACTGATATTTTGGCTGTTCTGGTGTGTAACGATGCCATGTGATGAGCACCTTCACACACCTTTGTGTATGTCTTTGGTGATGGGTATGCGCCCCTGACCATGGTTTTAGTTAGGCTTCATTTTCTTCCTCTTGAGGTTTAAAGGTTGCATTTTTTAGATAAGTTCTTTATCAGATGTGCCTTTTTTCTCCCAACTGCTTTTTATGCATTTTAATGTTTCAGCTGTTTCCTTTTCTTGCATTTAATGTTTTCCCTAGTTTTAAAGGAGCACTGTTTCCATTACTTCAGTTTCTCATATATAACAAGGTTTTAAACTTACAAACCTACAAAACCTAGCCTCACCCTTTGAATATTTTGCTTTTTATTTTTCTTTGACCCAAGAGAAATGATTGAGACTAAGTGTAAACACAGAAGACATGATTTTGGAGAGGGCTGGGCATTTGAGTTTGTTTTTCTAGACAAGGTCTCATTCTGTATCTGGCTGGCCCAGAACTAGCTATTCTCCTGCTTCTACCTTCCCAGTGGTACACGGTTTGTGACCATGTGCAGGACTTTGCTGTGAAACAAGATCTCACTAGGTAGCCTTGGCTGGCCTGGAAAGGGCTATGTAGATCAGGATGGCTTTGAACTCAGAGATCTTGCTTCCTGAGTCCTGTTATTAAGGTATGTGCCATCATGTACAGACCAGGATATATTTTTTAATGATTTCACCAACATATTTTTAGTTGTAGGTTGGTTTACCCCAAATGTATCCATAAATTAACATTATTCTAGAAATCTATGTGCATGTATTATATACCAGATTATGTTCCATGCCATTATACCACACATACTAATTTATGTAAACTCAAGCTGAAGCTAGACCTCGCCAACACTACTTGAGTTCCTGCAGACTGACCATATCCACTCATTATAGTTATCCATTTCAAGGGCAATTTAGCTGAGGATGTAATTCCTCCCTTATTAATGTTTCTAACATGAGGTAGGAGGGTTACATATTTTTTAGGGGCTACTGTTTGCATTTTAAAGCACAGTATTTTCATTCTTTCCTTCCATTTGCCCTCATGTAGTCACTAAAGGCACATGGGCCTTCTGCCCATGCTGCCTCGCATCGAGCGAACAGCTTGCTTCTAGTTAATATCATTTTACTTTCCTTCTGCAGTTACTGTGCTTCTGTGCACATCAAGCCATCCCTGGGCTTGAGGGTGCATGTTTGTCCAGGCTTTAATGTTATGGTGCCTTTTAATTATGTCACTGTACCCGTCTGTTTCAATCCCTTCTTTGTTCAGGTTACATTGTCTTTTAGAAGTACACGTCAGCCAGTGCTGCGTTTGCTCTAGGATGTCAAAGTCTCCGCCATTGCTTTCCCCTTGATCTTGTGCATGATAAACCTCATCTATCTACACTTTGGTGATTAATGTCCTTTCCATCGTGTACACAACAAAAATGCTGTCTTGTTGGAAAAACAGCAGCAGTAATTTAATAACACACCCGAGAGCTCTTTCTAGACTTCAGATTTAAAGCAGAACTGTATTCACCTTCACTTCTACAACAGATACCTGGGCAGCAGAGTTCAAGGAGGAAAGAGTTGCTTTGGCTCATGGTTTCAGTCAATGGTCACTGGTCCCACTGACTGAGATGGGGCATCATGGCAGAATGGTAGGACCAGCAAAACTGCTTACCTCGTGGCAGGGAGGAAGCAGAGACAGGAAAGGACCGGTGGGGGATGGAACCATTATGCTAAGAGCAACAAGGTTGAGCCACCAACTTTATGAATGACCATCAGGTAAAGCCACAAAGATGATAAATGCATTAGTGTTCATCCAGGGGAGTGGGACAGAGGAGAGGGAAACCAACTGCTGCTCAGAGAGCTTTGAGGACGATAAAATAGTCTAAAACGGACCATGGTGATAGCTGGTAACTCTGAATACACTAAAAACCAGTAAGATGTATACTTTAAGGTAAAAATTGGGGGCAGGGATGTAGCTTAATGGTAGAGTACTTGGCTAGCATGCACAAAGTCCGGGTTTGATCCCTTAGTACCACAAAAGAATAGAAAAAGAATTTCATGTTAATAATGCTGTTACTCAAACACAGAAGTCCATCAGCACAACTTCCTACTCCCCATGCTGGATGTGCCTCTAAACGAACACAGGAAAGTTGTGCATTATTCAGCCAGAGAATCAGAGAGCCCTGCTACCACATGGTTAGTGTATCTGACAGCTCCACATAGTTTTTTCATATGCTGATCCTTACTTTATCCATACCCAGAGCACATTACTGCGGAACTAGTGAAAATATCCTAGAAAGCATATTTGGAAAAAAACTTCTCAGCAATAGGAAAAAACAGAAGTACACAAGACCTACCCATGCATACAACCCGGCATGTGCGAACCAGTGAGAAAATATGTAACGGGCATATTAACAGTTAAAAACTGGCACTAGAACATTACAGCACATGGCACCCATGACAAACACAGCCTCTGTAAGTTCCAGTTTGTTCTCTCCAAATGGCATTTTTCATGGTCTCTTAGATGAGCCTGGGACAGTCTCACTCATGTGGACAGGCATTCTGGCCAGCCCAACTCTGTCCCTCAGTCCTAAGCCCAGCAACAGAGTTTCTTTTGAACCAGAGAAACTCAATTTAAAGCTTCCTCTGTGACCTCCAGTCTATGAGGGCACTTCCCAGTGTTGCATGAAGAGCTGTGGTCTGCTATCTGCACCACACTTGCAGACCAGGCTGCCACCATGATGGCACAGAACTGCATATAGCTTAACAAGAGGAGAAATGCCATGCACGTTTCTTGCACTGCATTCACACTCAGTTTTTAAGGTCTCTGGCTAAAGTCTCACAGATGAACTGTAGAGTACGTTGATACAAAAAAGCATCCTTTGTCTTCGGCTTGCAAATGTCCAGATGGTTGACATCTACAGGAATTAGATCCCCAATGCCTAAATCTGAAGAAAACAAAAATGTCAATAAAGCAAAGGGAGGCCAAGTTCGCCTGAGTAGAACTCTGACTCCATGTGTGAAAATGGAAGCCCAGCAAGCGTTAGTCTCGGTCTGTATTTTCCAGTTTCCATGGGCCTTTTGAGAACAGCCCGAGCATCTGTACTGAAGAGACGTCCCTGTGCCTGCAGGTGAACACAGACCGTTCTGATGCTTCACGGGAAACCCATTCTAGACCCAAATTCCCAGGAGCCTTCCCAGAGTGTGAGAGGTGGGGGAATATAGTGAGTGTGCTTGGGGGTGTGGGGGTGGTGGGGGGTGAGGAGGGTAGGAGAGGGTGGGGGGAGTGTGGGGGCGGTAGGGGGTGTGTGTGAGGGTGAGTGTGTGGGAGGGGTGGGGAGTATGTGAGAGGGTGTGGGGAGCGTGTGTGTGGGATATGTATGGGAGTGGTGGGGAGGGTGTGTGAGGGTGTGTGGGGGCAGTTGAGAAGATGTGGGGGTCAGGCTTTAGTACTTCAGGGACTGGAAAGGCATCTGCTGTCTTGGTCTGACAAGTCCACCTGGCTGCAGGTAACAAGAGATGCCAATGAGTCACCACTGAGTGGAGGGAAGAGAGTAATACAAGGATAGTCAGGATTTTGGGGACAATGCTATGGACAGCTGCTCAGGAGACTGGCTCTGCTGTGGCTTTAAGTTTAAGGTTGTCTTGGACATCTGGAAATCCTCAAGTAGCTGCTTTGCAATACCTCAGCCTAGAACATGGGATCCCTTCCATCTTGTGTGGTGTATACTGAGATAAAGACAAAGCTCATTAGCACACTAAGAATTATCACTGTCCCTGGCTGCTAAGAGCTTGCCATTGCTATGAGCTACCAGGATAGGACCTAAGCCAGCCTCAGAAAGGAGTTCCGAGAGATGACACTCAAGCTGAGGAGACATGGTCAGTTAAGGGAGGCAATTCAGACAGTGAACTGTCTAGGTGGCCACAGTGCGAAGTAATCAGGAGGCTCTAAGAGCCTGGAAGTAGAGTCTGCACTACATCAGCAGGCCTGGGCTACTCCCATCCACGCCCTCCCCATATGTTAACACACTGGTGTCTTCTAAATTATTTCCTGCTTGAATATTCCCCATACACCTTCCACTAACCAAATCTTCCAAACATTTACATCCTACATTTACTAAAACATTTACATTTATTACAGGTTTCTTTAAGGTTTCTCTGCAGCTATCAATTTGTTGAACAAATGCCTCTTTTATTCTAGCTTACAGAAGTGCTTAGTAGTCTCTTTAAAGCAAGCACCAACTGCTGGCACCTTAGAGCTGCCAACTGGCTACTGTTATCTGTTCTATAGAGGCTAAAGCCAAGGCTGTATGCTTGCAGCACGGTTTGAATCTGTTGCTAAAAAATGAATTCTGGATTGTCATTAACTTTCTCCTATACATCCCCAAGACACTGGATATAAAAACTGACATCTACTAAATGCTAGGCATCCAATAGCCACATGCCTCAAGAGTGAGTACCTGCCGACTCCACGGGCACTATGTGTAGCTTGATCATCCTGCCGATAAATGTTGGTTGTGTTTCTACAAAGTTCAGCACCTGGAAGTTCTTGTCTTTCGCAAACTCCACAAAGTCATCCTGTAGCTTCTTGAGTGCAGGAGAATCTGTAAAGCACAGAGGGAGATCGCAACAGTCTAGATCACTCAGTTCAGGACACACTCATTCATCTTTAACACAAAGGACAGGAAACTTGGGCAGCCGACTTGGGCAGGAGATGTGCTCAGCAGGTAAAGCATTTGCAGTACAAGCCTGAGGTAATGGCTGTTCTTGGTTGTCAACTATACCTGGAATTAACAAAAACCCCAACCTCTGAGCACCTCTGTGGAGATTTTTAGTTAACTGGATCATTTAAGGTAGGAAGACCCACCTTAGACCCGGATCACTTGAGGGCCCATCTTTAATCTGGGCCACACCTTCTGGTGGCAGCCTAGAGGACAAGGAGGCATCGAAGCATTTCTTCAGTGTTCTGACATACACTGAAGACCAGCTGAGACATCCAGCCTTGTGGACTGAACAACTACTGCATTCTTGGACTGTCCATTAGGAGTCAGCCATTGTTAGACTAGATAGCCTGTAAGCTATTCTAATAAATTCCGTGTGTGTGTGTGTGTGTGTGTGTGTGTGTGTGAGAGAGAGAGAGAGAGAGAGGGAGAGAGAGAGAGAGCATGCAACCCATCAGCTCTGTTCTTCTAGAGAACCCTGATTAATACACACAAGGACTTGTTTCAGTCTCTAGAACCTGTATAGAAAGCCAGCTGTAGCTACACAACTGCAATCTTAACTCTAGCAGGGTGGGAGAACAACAGGAGGCTCTGTGGGGCTTGCTGGCCAGTCTAGTCAATCATTAAGCTCCAGGGTCAATAAGAGACCCTATCTCAAAAAATGAGGCTGGTGACAAATGACAATGACCTAAACACACAGAAATGCACAGACATCAGAAGTTTGATTAATACTACTTCTGTGAAACATAGGAACCTTACAGAGTACTCAAGTATCTTCAAGATGATGAGAAATCACAGAAAACACGAATAAACAATAACCACCGAACAAGGAAGAAAAAAAATAATGCTGGGCTGTAAGAATACAAAAGCTGAAGATCAGAGCCAAGGTGGCTGAAAAGAGGCATCCTGTGCGTGCTTGGCCACACGTATTAGATCTATATGCAGAGACAGCTGGAGACATCCAGACCCTACTTTCCACTATGCTGAGGTCATCCAGAGAAGAAGCCGAAACACAGTAACTGGACCTAACATGGATTCTTAGGACGTTCTGTCCAAAGCGGTAGAGTACACATTCTTCATTCACACAGTGTTCTATAGGATAAATCACATGCTAGGCTAGAAATCACGTGTTAATGACAAACACACCATGCTTTATTACAGGATGTCTCAAAAGTTTATGTATATTTTGACAGTTCATAGTTTTTCCAAATTCATGGAAAAGGCAGTTTACTAGCTTGGAAGCAAAAGTCATAATTTGTCTAAGTTTGAATAGTTGGAAATAACATAAAAATTATGGCTACACTTGAGTAGTCGGTTAAAACAACAAAAAAAAGATAACAAAAAACCAAGCCACGCTAAAAGTTGTGTGCAAATTCAAAAACCAGATGGAATTTAAGGAAGAAACTGATCGTTTTTTCCCTCTTTCCATATACTCAATGTTCTACAGCCTCAATTCCCCTCACAACAGAGAGCCTTACCCTTGCTGAGTTCTTTGACTTCCAACGAAGGAAAGAGAAGATAGCGAATGTTAACTGAGTATTCAGCCAAGCGTGATCCATGGTGCGGGACACTATAAAAAATCATTCCTCTGGTGTTGTTTATAAGAGCGCTCAGTTCTGGTTTCCTAGAGGCTTCCAACAGCATCTTTTTGACAAGAAGACCTAGTCACGGAGAAAGAGAGTGAATGGTTTCCTTCCCTCTGTTACAACACAACAAGACAAATATCTAAAATTTAAATAATTTCCTTTATATAAAACCTTTAATATAATGACAGTACCACAGAATTATCAATATGAGTCTACAAACAGTCAGCAGACTGCTTTGTGGCACAGACCTTTCTCTCACAGATTCCACTGCCTCAGTAAGGAAAGTCCGGCCCTGCCTGAGCAGGCTGCCAGCCACTGAAGCCCAACACTGGGAGAGTACTGAAGTGCCAAGTTACAGGTTCTGCCAAGAAGAATCAGCTATGGCCAAGGCACCTAAGCAGGTTCCCTAAGCAGGTAATGCAAAGACTCCAGGATGGTGACGGGACTTTTGAGAGGCAGAAGGGTCACATGCAGCTTTCTCAGCAAAAAGCTATGGCTGAGGCTCAGCCTAAGTCACACTTATCAGACACCCTAGCCTAGGGCTAGGTATATGGAGAAAGCAGAGAGCTGGTTTGGGGGAGGGCAGGAGAAGTGGGGCATGCAGAGAAAGTGAGGGCAAACCCCCAAGCACAGCAGCCAGGCACAGAAAAACTGTGAGCACATCTGAGCAGCACAGGTACCTGCCTGGGACTGGAAGCACACATGCGACAGCAGAGTTGGCAATGTGGAAGAAGCATGGACAGAAAGAAAGGGAAGCCTCCGGGAACACCTGCTTAACTGAGTCCAACTGGTCAACAGTCCACAGTGTGAGGCTGACGCATAATGACCACATGAAACCACCAAGTTATCAATCCATGCCCTCCCACACAGTTTGTTATTAGCTGTCCCCTTCTAGAAAAACAAATAGCATGGAAGGAGAGTAGCAACTTTAGAACTCTTAGCTAAAACATTAACTTGGGGTGGGGAGACCAGTTAAGTAAGACAGACGCGGAACTTTTGGTTGGCTGTAACCTTGACAACCACCTCATGATGGTCACTCTATGAAGATGAAACCATCCTTACCTCCCATGCTATGTGATATCCAAATCACTGGCCTATCCCCAACACCAGCAGCTCTGAGCTTGCTAAGAAGTTCGTTGCTTCTGAATGCAATGGACTTTCTGAACAAAACGAAAACAGCAAGCATGACGGGAGGCATCCATCCCCCAAATCTTGCTACCTAACTTTTGAAGACAAGAATGTTTGCTTGTTCAATGCTATTGGCTCCCAGTCTGGAGTGCAGGCTGTGCCAATATCATTCTCTATCTGAAACTTATTAACACTCACATAGTTAGAACTATCTAAGCCCCTAATAGCCCACTCATACACTAAGCACACATTATTTGAATATCAAATGGATCTGGCAATTTTTACAGGTTGAATATGGGTCTCATCCCAGTTGTTCTGAGCACTTAGGTATGAGAGGAGGGGGCGGAGGATCCCTTTTCACATCCATGGCCCGACAAAATGTCCCAGAGACTTGACTGAGTTTATGCCTACTTTGTTTATGCTATGGAAATCAAGCCTTTCGCCATTGGATTTATGTGTTAAATATTAGGAAATGATCATCAGAGTTCAAAAAGAGTAATTTCACACCAAAAGGGAATTTAACTTCACAGCTTATCAGCCTGCTAGTTTCACGCTCTTCAACTGTAATACCTCTTTCTTTTTTTTTTTTTTTTTTTTATAACAAAGGTTTTCCTGTGCTCCTCTGGGACTAGATATCCCTCTGTTGGCCTCCTTCTGGGGCACCCATGTGGGATCCACTCATCAGCACCATGCTGTGTCACTAACCAGACCAGCTCTCTGTGACAAAGCTTGCTACACTGCACAGTGAGCCAAGGCTGGGCCTCAGCTATCTAGGTCCTGGAACCCAGGAAGGCACTGCTGCTTAAGACATAAAAGGGACCCACGTCAAAACTGCTTGGCCTCGTTTTCCTTGTGCTTCCCTCAGCCAGGAGGATTGTGAATACACAAGCAACTACCAGTTTTACCTGCAGGAGAAGTGAAGGCTTTGACAGAAATCCATGGTTCTTTCCTATTACACAGTTGAGCTCCTTATCAGGAACTCAAGACCACGTGGTATCTAAGTATCTACAGCTAATTACTTATTGTAAGCTAACGCCTTCTAGAAGGAAGACAACAATGGAGGTGGATTGGAGCATTTGCCTAACATGCACAAGACCTGAGCTCAATCCCCAACACTTAGAAGATCCACTGTGGCGTGAGCCCTTCCCCTCTCCCATCCAGTGAACCCTTCAATATTACCTTTCCATGGGGCACCTTGCTCGCCAGTCACTGAGGCTGGTGTCATACTCCACAGATATGATGCGAAGCGCAGGACAGTCTTTTGCTAGCCATGTCTAGGTAAAACAAAAGATTCATGAGCATATGCATGCATCTCCCCATCCACTTCCTTCCTAGGAATTGCTGTAGTTAGGGTGCTGATAAAAATAAACACTATCTTTTTACAGCTCTGGCCACAAAATGCCATCAATATTTGTTACACAGGCATGAGAACATTGTCAATTTTAATCTGCAACTGCCAAAATCAAGACTTGTTTGGTGGCTTTCAACACTTAGTATAGAGCTGTTTTCTCAAAGCAGAAGTATTTTCTGCTGGAACACACTGAGGTCTGAGACCTGGAAGCTAACGATAACTGTGTTGTCTCTGGGAGCTGGAGGCTGACATCTCCAGACTTCAGCAGTAATGGAGAGAAGAGCATGCTATTCTAAGGAAGCGGGAGGGGAACAAAGCCCTGGATACAATTCACACACAGTATTCACCTGCACTGACTTCAAACAAATTTTATCCCATGAATTCATTCTGGGGTTGTGGCTCTTTGGAGAAGAAAATATCAAAGAACTGCAAAGGAGAATTATATCATCCAAATTTTTCTACCTTTATAATTATTAAGTTCATAAAGTTGGCTAGTACAAGGAAATTATGGCTGTATTATTTTAAATTATGAAGCAAAGTGTATAATTGCACTCTTATCCCACTTTATCACTCATGGAACATTATTCCAGAGTCACAATATATCCTAAACAAAGTACACATGCAGGGTCACAAGCCCAGATGATGATGTAATGTCCTGCAGGTGTTTCCAAGGGAAAGAACAGCAAGAGGGAAATCCTAGTGGCACAATGCAGTGCAGCACCGCCTTAGTATGGGTGACAGTCACAGCTCCTTACCTTGGGCCAGCACGTAGTGTACCTGTTCTCATCCACCACGACATTTTCCGTCAGAGCCCGCTTACTGTCGTGCTGGCGCCAGGTTTTAAACGCTGCCCCCATAAGGCCATGGATAAAAAGGACATCGGCTTTAATGGGCTGACTGAGAGGGAAGAGAGTTTTAAAGAGAAGCAGAATAAATGCATTACTACTGTGGCAAGCCACAGGGCATTCTCTGTGGAGGGCTTTGGCAGGCTGACACAACGCAAAGGAGACTTGATTAGGGAAACTATCAACATAGGGCTGCTGAGGATCCTGGGAATTGTGACACAGACACAGCACCGTCATTGCTCCTTCAGTGAAAAGACGCACTTAGCCAGGCAGACCACCCAGCACCTCTAATGAAATCCATGTCACCACAAGGTTACCCTCTAAATAAGTCTATGAAAACATTCCACAAACCAATGAAGGTCTTTGAGAAATTAGACAACATACGCTCATCTAATGGCAAAGTCACTGTACATGAGAAATGTCAGGAGGACCTCACTAGGACCTGCAGTGGCCTCATGGGGAAACCCAAGACAACATGCCTCATTCCAGAGTTGGAAGGAAACTTGCTGACTCGGCCAGAAAGACACACATGGGGTGGCTCACCCAGCGCCTTGACCACCTCCCTTACAGTTTCACAGCTGGCAGAACAAACCTGAGTCGTCATGAGATGACTCAGCCTTAGGGGGAGACAAAAGGGAGCTGCTGCTGTAAGCCTGTGCAAATCCAATTCAAACAAGTCCCACCAGCTAGCATAGAAGGTTACCATGTTCAGGGAAGAGGGAAAGAAGACTAAAACCAGAAACAGAAGTGCAAGGAAAGAGGAAACTATCACTTTGTACTCTAGTTGGCGTAATACACACTAAAAGTCCTAGGCAGAGGTAAGAAATAAGTAAAATTCAAACACAGCTCCTGTGTTACCCCTAATCTTTAAAACTACCAACCTCACTGTTGTCTTTGCTGGGCTTTTTACTCCTTCACATATAAAAACACTGAACAGGGACCAAACTTCCCCCTTACACCTCTAGGGGGCTCATCTTTGGCTTTCCTTTTTCTGTTTTATAGGAATACTTTTAAAAACATCCTTTTTTTTTTTTTTTTTTTTTTTTTTAGAAATTTTTTTAAAAACATCCTTTTTTTTTTTTTTTTTTTTTTTTTTGGTTGGTTTTGGGGTTTTGTTTTGTTTTACAGAAATAATATTTTCAAAGTGTGAGGAAACACTGAATGATTTGATTTTATTCAAATGCCTCCAAACAGGCCCTAATGTTTCCACCAACCAAAAGCTAAAATGTCACCAGGTAAAATGGGTGAACCTGTTCTGGAGTTTTCCCTGCTTTTCTGTTCCCCACCAGAATATTTGGTAAATGTATTTACTCACAACTTTTTTCTTGTTTTGTGATGATAAGAAGTTGACTTTGGTCATATTATCGCTGGCAACCTGAAGCCTGAGCCATGGTCACTCACACTTTACTCATATTAACCCTCTTCCTCTTTTTGGAGTGGGAGCTAGGAGTACACTGGTCCTCCTAACATTTTACTTGCCAGTTAGAATGAACCAATAAATCCATTTGTCTTTTTGCAGAGGATTTTTTAAAGGATCTTCTGGAAGGGGACCCTGGATCCTGGTGACAACGGCTCGACAGCTACCTTCAGTGACCTTGAGTCTCTGAATGTCAGATCTCCTGTGATGTGAGTGATTGCTCCTCCCGGCTCCCGCAGCACAAAGCACTGACCCTGGGACCCTGATCCCTTCACATGCTGCTGCATTCCCATCTGAAGAGTGGACTGCAGCTCCCTGAAAGGGGTGTTGTGAGCCAGGCCCTCCAGACTGGGCATGGGAGCAGGGCTCTGACAGTTGTGGGGCTGAGGGAGGGGCCCTGTCACTGTCTCCTGTCAGCACCTCTTGCAGTCAGAATTAAGGAGCTGGTGGGGATGGAGGAATTGACTGCTACTTTTAATTTCCTGTGAAGAGGGACTTGGAGTTCGGTTCAAAGAAAGATTGACTTAAGAAATGCTGGGGGTGAAGAAAGAATGTGGGCAAGGAGGCTCCTCAGAGGGTCTGTCTCTGGAGCTCTCCATTCTTCCTCATCTAGGGAAAGGGTATGGGCTGCAACAACTCAGTGGCTGCTTCCATGCACAGCTCTTCCCTAGTCCTGGGCACACCACTAGCTGGAAACAGGGAAAACAGAAGGGGAATGGTGAGCCTACAGAGATGGGGACTATGAGTTTCTTGGATCTCTCTTTTGTAGGTCTTTCCCTCTCTTTCAATTGCAAATAAAACCACTTTCCAGTATAAAAAAATGATCATTTAAATTCATGTGATGCTCACCTTGTCCGACACTGGGGATGGAGTACATACACCCCATCTTGGTATTTCTCACACACAGTTTCTCGGTCTAGATTCGCCAGGGTTCTGGCAGCATGGGAAGCCTCCATAATGTGGTAGGATTTCAAAGCCTCTGCCATTATAGAAACCCAGCCTGAAGAAAAGAACAGATATCCTAAGCATATATATGAAGTGCATGTACATACACACACAAGCACACAAAGGTCTGGAAAGACACAGGACACCCAACTCATTAGTGGTCATTACCTCTCAGGAGGCAAGTGAGTGGAAGAGGGTGCTGAAAAAAAGACAGGTTGAACTGGTTTTGCTGTATCTGTTTTCTCAAGTATAAACAAGTGCCTACTTGTATATCATTATTTATACAGACACACGTACACACATGACTTAAAAGAGAGACTTGGGGTCAAATGTCTGTCCCCCTTATGTGCTGTGAAAGCTCAGTGAAGTTACTTCACAGCTCTGATGATCTCGCTCCTCCAATCAGCACCTGACTTGTATGAGGGACTCTCCTTCTCATGTGTCCCCTCCACCCCATGACTAGACTGCCCTGTGGAGCAGGTGCATACCTTCCCTCAGAATGTGGCCCAAACTTCAGTTAATAAGCAAAATTAATGACTGCTGCCATAACACAGGTTTCAGGGTAGTCTGATAGCAACAAAAACTTGTTTTCTTTGAACTGTTCATTTCTTCTCTCAACTATCTTTTTTTTTTTTTTTTTTTTGGTCATGAGCCTTGGCCTATAATGATTGAGCCATCTCTCCAGCTCCATTGTATACTTTTTATTTTACTTTACAAATAAAAAGTGTGTGTGTGTGTGTGTGTGTGTGTAATGGTATGAAACGTGATTTGTACTTTGTGTGCATGCATGTGAGGTTGTAGGACAATTTATAGATTCAGTTCTGTCCTTCAACCACATGGGTTCTGGGGACAGAACTCACGCTGTGAGGCTAGGCAGCAAGTATCCTTACCTGCTGAGTAACTTCACCAGCCCACTATATTGTTCTAAAACATGTTCAGTGAGAACACTTGGAATCTATTCTGGCAGTTTTCAAGAATATAATAACACGTTGTTGCTTATGGAGCTGCCCTCCCAGCATCAGGGTTCCTCAACACATCTGCAACAAAGAGCTGCAGGATGACGATGACTGATAATTGCTGTTACCTGGGCCTACTTCTCAATATACCAATTAAAAATCTTACTACAGCTCAGACAGCAAACAAGCGAGGCTCAAATGTGTGATACAAATTTCTACTTAAAAAGCCAGGCGTGGTGGTGCATGCCTTTGATTCCAGCACTTGGGAGGCAGAGGCCAGCCTGGTCTACAAAGTGAGTTTCAGGACAGCCAGAGAAACCCTGTCTCCAAAAACCAAAACCAAAAACAAAAGCTATTAAAAAAAAAAAAAAAAAAAAAGCTGGGTGTTGGGGGTGCACACCTTTAATCCCAGCACTCGGGAGGCAGAGGCAGGCGGATCGCGGTGAGTTTGAGGCCAGCCTGGTCTCCAGAGCGAGTGTCAGGATAGGCTCCAAAGCTACACCGAGAAACCCTGTCTTGAAAAAAACAAACAAACAAACAAACAAAAAAGTGGTGTCACATGGCTGTGAGTCCAGAGTGGGGGAAGGCAGGACTATTAGGAGTTCAGAGTCATCCTCAACTACAGAGTGAGTTCAAGGCCAGCCTAGAGGTGGGGAAGGAAAAAGAGGGAATGAACACTGGCAATATGAAAGAGGAAGGAAAAAGTAACTTTGATACTTTCCAAGAGTTGTAAAATCTCATGGATGTGACAGAGGTCATATTTAGTTCTAAAAGGTGAATAATTGGGCTGCTTCATGCTTTTCAGAAACATTTCTGGTTTCTGGATTTGATTTCATTAAAATTAAAATCTGCTGAACTGGGAGTTGACCCAGGTTCAATTCCCAGCACCCCCAAGTCAGATCACAACTGTAATTCCAGTCCCAGTGGATCCAACACCATCTCCTGGCTTCCATAGCATCAAGCATGCATGTGGTACACAGACTTACATGCAGCCAAACTATTCATGCACGCCTTTAGTCCCAGGCAGAGCTAGAGTGAGGCCCCATCTTAGAAAAAGAATCTGCTGATCTAAAGACTACTTAAGGGTCAATGCATAGCTTCTAATATGTGTGTGTATAATAATGATTATACAAAGTTATACGAGCATGTATCTGCATACTCTCATTTATATATAAGTATATGTCTATGGATGTATATGTGTCTTGGTTAGGGTTTCTATTGCTGCAACAAAACACATTGACCCAAAAGCAAGGTAGGGAGGAATGGGCTTATTTGCCTTACACTTCCAGATTCATAGTCCATCACTGAAGGAAGTCAGGACAGGAACTCAAGCAGGGCCTGGAGAGAGGGGCTGATGCAGAGGCCACTGAAGGTGCTGCTTTCCCTGGCTTGCTCAGCCTGCTTTCTTACAGAACCTAGGATTACCAGCCCAGCAATGACACCACTCAAGATGTGCTGGGTCCTCCCCCATTGATCACTAACTGAGAAAATGCCTTACAGCTGGATCTTATGGAGGCATTTCCTCAACTGAGGCTCCTTCCTCTCTGATGACTCTATCTTGTGTCAAGTTGATATGCAAAACCAACCAGTACAGTATGTATATATGTATGTATGTATGTATGCATGTGTGTGTACATATGTATGTTTATAATGGTTTGAATGGATGTCCCCATAGGTTCATATATTTGAACAGTTGGTGGTTCAGTTTGTGGATATTTAGGACATGTGGCCTTTGTTGAAAATGCACGTCACTGGGGGTGGGCTTTGGGTGTTTATAGTCTCATTCCACATCTAGTTCATGTTCCCTCCTTCATGCTTACAGTTGAGGGTGTGAGCTCTCAGCTTCCTTCTCCTCTGCCATGCCTTCCTGCCATGCTGGACACTCATCCCTCTGGAACCACAAGGCAGATAAACTTTCTTCCTTAAGGTGCCTTGGTCATGTTTTAATGGCAGCAAAAGAAAAGTAACTAATACAAAAGTGTACAGACACACACACATACCAAACACACACGCACACAAAACATCATATGTATGATATGTGTGTGTATAAGTTTTCTGGGTCTCCGCTAGCCAAAGATGAGACAATTTAGCATTGGTTTAGTAAGTACAGTAATAAATTATAAACCTTAAAAACATTTTAAAAAGAGTAATCTGTGTTGCTCAAAGGGAGGGAAGGAGGAAGAGGGTGAGAAGGGAAGAAGGCAGATGTGTGTCTCCTCACGGGTGGCTCGTAGGCTGCAGGGGAAATGAATTAGTTCTACAATGGGTCTCTTTTCTGTCTGCCTCCTGGTTAACTAAATCACATCAACAATTTCAACAATCTTTATGCCAAAGTCTGCTCACCTATAATGGCTCTACATGCTAAGTTCTCAGTGTGGAACCCTAGCAATTCCTTATCACCCCAAACAACATAGTATAAAGGACCCAAGAAAACCCCAAGAGTGTTAAGTCTATTGAAAAATGAGTATAGCATGAGTTGAGCAGTGGGAGAACAGTGCACACAAAGCTGTTACCTGAGCGGACTATAGCAGGGTGAAGATGCTCGTTCAAGGCCATGTTTCCAATGATCCTCATGATGTTTCTCTGTACTTTGGGGCAGTCCTTGTAAAGCTGGTAGAGCCTCTGCAGTAGCTGCAAGCCTCCGCCTGCTTCAATGTGGTCACAGTGTGAAGGGATCTAGCACAATTAACAGAGCTCCTGTTACACTGCACCACTCACACCTCAAAGGGTGACTTCCCGCACCCTGCCCTGTGCTGCAACGCTGTAGTCCCTCTTACTCCCACCTAGTTTCCATTCCACAGGTGGGAATCAAAGATGACTAAGTTCAGCCATGCATTTCTGTCAGGTCTAACGTTTTTAGGTTACAGTGGCCAGCTCAGAACCTGGAAGACAGTGCTTCTGCAGATGTGGGTGGGTCCTTTACACTATATTGTTATTTGAGTGGCAAATGCAAATTCTGGCACTCCACACCAGATCTGCTTAGTTCAAACATTGGCAATTGGATACTGTGCCTAGCATGTTTCCCAGGTGATGTCATACTTCACTTGTGGGTACCACTAGGCTTTTTGCCCCCCCCTTTTAAAACCCAGATATAGCTGGGCATGGTAGCATACAGCTATACAAGGATACATACACAGCAAGATCCTGCCTAATAAATAAGCAAACTACAATGACCACAATGCCAAAATGCCTAGAAATTACTAGCACTTATAACTTAGCAGTATAGCAATCTGATATTTCCCTTTCCTCTCTAACTGATTCCTCTCTAACTGATATCTTATGGAAATTAAACTATCTGATGCTACATGCACAACCATCTGGGCAAAGGAGAAGACAGCACAAATCAAAGACAAATGTCATGTTAGAGCATGGGCTGCTTCCTTCATGTGCATTTAAGAATTGTTTAAAATATGTAATAGGGGACTGGAGAGATGGCTCAGTGGCTAAGAGCACTGGCTGCTACTCCTACAGAGGACCCAGGCTCAATTCCCAGCACCTACATGGTGGCTCATCATTGTAATTCCAGTTCCAAAAATCCAATGCCCTTTTCTGGCCTCCAAGGACATCAGGCACACACATAGTACACAGACAAAGCATCCATACATAAAATTAATACAATAAAACTTTTTAAAAATTAAATATGTAATAAAAATGAAAGTCACGTATTGGTGCTAAATCATTCTTATTAATTCTAACAGTTGAAAGTGGAATTCTAAAAGTGTAATATCTTTACCAACTCTAAGAATGTCATACCTGCACACAATGTCTTTTCATCATATTCACTGCTTACTCTGCCCCTAACTCCTCCAAGATCCTCCTCCCCATTTCTCCCCTCCCTCAACGCGTGTTCAGGTAACTATGGGAGCCACACTTGGATGCAGGTTACCTCTGAATGCTTTACTACAGCTTCTAGGCAGAACATTTCCACCGTGGCAGAGGGAACCTCGCCAAAGCTTTCCGCATACGGAAGTCCATTTCCTCCAAAGCACCACAGTCCTCCCTGAAGTCAAGACAAAGTATTTACATCTGTGTAACAGATACAAATTAGGGATTTCAAATATGTAAATCTGTGACATATTCAAATTAGGAATTTCAAGTATGTAAATGCCTCAAGGTACTTTGGAAACTGAAAGGGAATGTCATGCAAACTTCTACTACTTTTTAGAATAGAATAACACATCAGGCAATTCCCGGAACAATTTTGACACCTTTCGCCATCTGTACTTCTGTCCTCTCCTAGCAAAGTCAATTCTTTCTCCCCTGGTCAGAGTGTTCTGGCATCAATTCCTTCAGCATTTACTAATTCATACAGACTATGCTAGCTGAGTCAACTAAAAACCTAAAAGTAAAAAAAAAATTTAATGGAAAATTATCACAAACCAAAATATTAAAAACATGGTGGCTTTTATTTCTTCCCAGTTATAAGTGAAGCTCAAGTGAGAGAGTAAGTATAGTTAAGTGGCTGGGGAGGCAGCTCAGTGGGTAAAGTGCTTGTTGAACAAGCACGAGGAACCAAGTTCAGACCCCCAGCACCCAGATAAAAAACAGGTAGGGAGTGCACATCTGTTACCTCAATTCTGGGTCTGAGAGGGGAGAGCACACTCAGATCCCAGGAGCTTGCTGGGTAGCCAATCTAGCTGAATTGGCAAGCTACAGATACAACAAGACACTCTGTCTCAAAAAATAAGGTGGAAAGAAATAGCCAGAGATCCCTGATACTGACCCCTGTATACACACTTGAACACACTCACACGCACACGTATACACACACACACACACACACACACACACACACACACGTTCAATTAGAAAATGTAGAGTGGCAAGTACTACTAGACACTAAGTACTGTGACCAGTATCCAGAGTGGTGCTGAGAGCAGCATGTGCTCACAAGGAACACTGTGCACCCTATGAGTTTGCAGCCTGTCTTTGCCCTCTGACCTGTGTGAAGAACTCTATCAGCTTTCACACCTTTTGCCACTGGACAGGCTTTGTGTCTTGCAACTGTCTACTCTGCTACCCTTGGTTCTGACCTGAAGGCAACCATGTTGGTAAATAGTCCATGCATGCCTTCAACAAAGAACATACAGAGCTTCGTTTAACATGTAGAGGAAGCCTCTGGACAGTTTTCAACTGGACAACAGCAGTTCTTACTAAGGTTTGTAAGATTACTCTGGCTACACTGAGGAAGATGAGCTGAAACCTCAGGTATCTTGGAGAATGTCTAAAATGTTTCAAATGCTGCTAGACACAGACAAGCTCTAAGGGGGAGGGGGAAGAAATGAAGAGAAACCCTGGGTACTAGAACTGGAGACAACATAAAGCCTAGGAGGTGAGCAAGGGTGAGGGTGTCAATTAGGCCCTGAACTATGTTCAGTGTAAACAATGCCTTCTTAGGTGTTTCTTTGGGGCTACATCTGAGGCTTCCATCGAAAACAAGGTCTTGAAATGTCCTTTTAAGAGGGCATGGAAGAAACTGCCATGAAGTGCTACACAGAAGACAGACTAGTGGGGCTGAAAGAAGGGAATCCTACAGGCAGCCTCCACCCTGCATTCTGCTTCATGTCAAACCCTGGCCCCAGCCTTCAGTGTGAAATCCCAATTTAAAACTAACAAGTCTTAGCCATCACTGTCAGATCCATCATGGTCCTTGAGGGATCTGGGTCCAAAGGGATCTGGGTATGAGGTAGCCAAGTGACAGCTGTTTCTTAGCAGCTGTGCTCCTGATGTCCAGAAAGTCCATCTGTGGTTAAACGTTCTTAAAGCTACAGACAGGCCCCAGGGCATCTGCCCACACATGTGCACTAACAAAGGTACTGCATCCCTCCTCTTTGTACGCTTTCTAGAGGAGCATGAGAATAAATTCCATAAAGGGGAGAGCTTATCCACCATGATGTAGAAGGGGGAAAGGTCACCTTACACCATGAATATGCCACCAACCTTATGAATCATAAAAACTTCTTTAAAATCCACAACACAGAGCCCACTGTGTAATGACTGCTCTGCCCACTCCTGCCACACACAGACTTTTGTGTTGGTCCATGGAATTCCTTCCTTTAAGAGGGAAAATATCAAGAAACCTTCAAGGAGAAAGAAAAGACCCTGCTGTGTGGGGACAAATCTATCATCCACGGTGCTTGGCGCACACTAGAAAATAGTTCATACAAGAGTGAGGCTGCAGTCCAAAGGCACAACGAAGGAAAAACACAATCACAAGGAAAAAGCCAACACTACCACAAGCAGAATCAACACCCTAAACAGGAACAGATACAAAAATCCGGAAGAGATTTTAAAACCACTGAAGAAGTGAAAGAAGAAACAGAAGCCAAGACGGTGGAGAAGATGCATGAGAGCGGGCAGCTGTAGAAAGTCGGGGTGAACAGACTCAATGTGTGCCCACAGCAATGGCCAGCAGCAGCTGCTGACAGCTATATACATGAAGACTGAGTGGCATCGGGATCACTAGGCTGCAACGTGACCAACTGAGATAAAGACCAGATGGTAAGGGCTGTATTAGGGGAAGGCAGGTTTGATCGGCTAAATTCAAGATTCTTGCTATACTCCAAGAAGAGGAGGCTGGATAATCAAATCTCGAGTTCAGATTAGAACACAGGCCTAGATGTATCAACTCAAATGATGAGAATCAAACCCATGGCTAGAGCACACTTGGCAGGCACTGTCACTGAGCTGTACCCCAGTCCTGACTATTCACTATAAAGGTACAATACCAGAGGTTGCTCCTACAAAACAATAAATGAGCTCACAAGCTAAGGATTCCTGTAACCAAATCTTTCTAATACACATCTATGTTTATCATTCTGTGATTCCCGACACCACACAGCCAAGTACAGAGTCCATAGCAGGACAAACTGAGGTTCTAAACGCTAGTCCCAGTGTCTTGGAGAAGGGTAAGTGCTCAAACCATTTGCTGAAAAAGATATAAACCAACCTTCTGCGCAGCCAGGCTCTGGCTACTCTCACTAAGAGCCAAAGATGTAAAATACTGGAGACACTCATCAATCTCAGTTTGAGGTAGAGAAGCCAGCAAATGCCTGAGTTCCTCTTCAGTGGAGGAATCCTGAAATAAAAGGCAAAAACAAAATCGTCAGACACAAGCCCAACAACCAAGTGTAACAAAAAGAACACCTCAAGAATCAAGAGTCAAGGCAGACATACAGTAAGAACAGGATGGACAGTGCAATCTGGAGAGTACTCAGCCACAAAGGTGGAGATACATAATCATTTATTTGGGTTCTATACTGCCATGCCTGCTGTTACATTTAAAGACCTATTACAAGGGCTGGAAAGATGGCTAATAATTAATAACACTAGCTACTTTTGCAGAAGATATAGGTTCGGTTCCAGCACCCACATGATGGCTCACAAACACTTGTTAACTCCAGTGCCCTCTTCGGCCTCTATGGACACCTAGCATGCATGTAGTGTATGTACATACATGCAGGCCCCACACATACATATAAAATAAAATCTTAAAAATAAACAAACAGAAAAAGGGACTGTTACAAATTGTAATTTAATTTTTACCTTAGGGACTTCTTGATATTTTGACTCAAAATGAGATAAACCCTTAATAACTAAAAATATCATTAAGCCTGGAGTTTGTGAATATTTCATTTTTTGTGATAATTACATATTCACTTTTCTTTTTTTCCAATGATTATTTACATCAAAATTTCAGTTTTGTTTTTTTATCTAAGGAAAGTTCCTCAAGATGCCTGTAGTTCAGCATGCTTTTGGCCATGGTTCTCACCAGGGTTTTTTTAAGATTTTTTTTATGTGCATTGGTATTTTGCCTGCATGTATGTCTACGTGAGGATATCAGATCCCCTGGAACTGGAGTTACAGACAACTGTGAGCTGCCATGTGGGTGAGGGAATTGAACTCAGGTCCTCTGGAAGAGTAGTCTGTGATCTTAACTGCTGAGCCATCTCTCCTGCCCCACCAGGGCTATTTTAAACCCCAAGACATATTTAGCAATGTCTGAAGACAATTTTCTTTGTTACAACTTGGGGGACTCCTTGCATCTTAGGAGCAGGGTCCAGGAATACTGCTAAATATCCTGCGGTACACAGAACAGCCTCCTCCGATAAAAATTATTTGATCTAAGAGGTCAAGAGTGCTCAGGATGAGAAATAAATTGTCTATAAAACAAGGCAGGCTGGAGAGATGACTTGGCACTTAAGAGCATGCATACCTTTTGCAGAGGACCCAAGTTTGGTTCCCAGCACTCATTGGTGGTTTACAACCACCTGTCACTCCAGCTCCTGGGGATCTGTTGTCCCCTTCTGACCTCCCTAGACACTGGTATTCACATGCAAATACTCATGTCTAGGTACCCACACATAGTTAAAGATAAAATAAATCTTGAAACAAAGCAATCCCAGCACTCAGGAGGCAGAGGCAGGTAGCCTAATGAAAGTTCCAAGATAGCCAGTGCAACACAGAGAAACCCTATCTTGAAAAATCAAAAACAAAACAGAAAAAAAAATAACAAAAAACTTACTATGAGGCACCCTCTCTTGGTTGACATCTTGTAGAATTACCTAGCAGAACAGACTCTCTCAACCCACAAAGGCAGAAAACGGCAGCGGAACAGCTGCTTGTGAGGTCCCAGCCCTGCAGAAACTAAGATTTTCAGCTCTGTATCCAGTTCACCTGTTTTTCCCAACCAGGCACCAGCTCTTCTTATTTGCACCCACACTAAAAACACGCATTCAGCCTTTCCTTCCCTAGACTACTATGCTTGCTTACTTCTTTTAAAGATGGCAAAGGAGGGGGTGGGAGAAAAAAGCGACGGTCACTTTCTTTGCTTCGTGCCAAACCAATAAGGGTCCTTGGATCACAGGCTTGCGCAATTATCCTGTACTGGTAGTCTGTTGTGAAAATAAAGTTTTTGTTAACATCAAGATTAACTCAAAGTTACCACAAGACTAAATAAAAAATTACTTGAAAGTACCCCAATTCTTAAACTGTTCTTTGTCACTCCAAATTTCCAAAGTACTTTTCACAACTCAGATGTACCTACAGTACCTGGAAGCTCAACACCCAATATAGCTCACAGTTACCACCACCTACACACCAGGAAGCTCAATGCCCAACTGGCTAAGTTGCCATCAATCACACAATTCTCCTCAACACTCCCAGTCATACTCTGAGTAACTTTTTTAAAAATCTGAAGTTCAGGGGCTGGAGAGATGGCTCAGAAGTCAAGAGCACTGGCTGCTCTTCCAGAGGTCCTGAGTTCAATTCCCTGCAACCATATGGTGGCTCACAACCATCTATAATGAGATCTGGTGCCCTCTTTGGCATACATGCAGACAGAACACTGCACAATTAAATAAATAAATTTTCAAAAATCTGAAGTTCAAAATAATAGTTGTGGTGCATGCCTTTAATCCTAGCACTCCAGAGGCAGAGGCAGGGAGATCTCTGTGAGTTCGAGGCCAACCTGGTCTACATCGTGAATTCCAGGACAGCTAGTGCTACACAAAAATCCCATCCTGAAAAAAAAAAAAAGAAAAAAGAAAAGTTACAAAAAATCTTAAGTTCAAATGTGAAGACTTAGGTAACTCAGAATCAGGAGTTTCTCTCAGTGAAATAGTATAATCTTGTTCTGGTGGAACAGGCCTCAGTTTGAGAGATGCCCTTACCAAATATACTTGGACTGCCAGATCAGCAGGTTTTCCAGTTTTGCATGGAGTTATTCTCAGATGTTTGAGAGAGAGATTGTGTGTGCATGTGTTTCCATATTAAGACTGCCAGACTCTTTTTCCTTCCTTAACCTCATTCCCCTTCTCTCTTACAGCAGAAAACAAGAGGTGGCTAACCCACAACCCGGGTTCTCATTACCATGCCAGTGGTGGGCCTCTGACAGTTCCCGCACAGCCTCCAGTCTTGCAGCTTTACTATCCTCCCGGCTCTTCCTTAAGAGCAGCCACACTGCACAGTCATGATCTTCTATGTCAACTGTGCTGAAAGTGTCTTTGCAAAAAGAACACGACAGACACAAAAGACACAATATCAACAGTTAAGGCAACATTTGTACACCTGTATGGTGTATGCAAGTTGCACATTTCTGTGTGTACACTACATGCATCTAATATTCCTGAATCGAAATTGAAGCAGCTTGCCAAGCCTGCTAGGCTGTCTGTCCAGAAAGCCCCATGATTCTCCTGTCTCTGCCTCCAAAGCACTGAGACCATAGGCATGTGCTTCAATTACTGGCTTTTTATGGAGGTTCTGGGTTAGGATCCTCACACATGAAGGGCAAGGACTTTACTGATTGAGCCAGCTTCCCAGCAGTCAAAATCTTTTTATATTCACTGTTATGTTAAATGACAACTTTAATTCGTAATAGAGAGTGAAATCAGATACAGATGATGACCAAATGTTTGATCTAAGCTCTGTCATATTATTTTTTCATATTTACTACCAGTATTACATGTATACTTTTAATATTCAATGCTATCTTTTATGTGGTCATTTTTAGTCTTAGGTTGGCTGTCCACACAACTTCCAGACCTGTGATGAAGACTTGTGTCTACACGTACCAGACCAGTGACGAGGACTCAAGTGTCTACACGTACCAGCAAATGGGCTCCGCAGTACCCTGGCTGATGCTGCCAACACTTTCCTTACTGCTTTGTGAAGTTCTTTTCTTGCCTGCCAAACAAGCCCTAAAATGATGGCAGCAAGTAAGACCAAGTGTGCACTTTTGGTATTGCCCCAATGCTTCAAAAAGAAATACATAAACCAGGCTCCAAAGTTAATCATAAAGAACATAAAACAAAAACCTTTGACCTCTTATTGTCACTATTAAATGCAAGTATTTATTATGGGAGTACAGAATACTCTGGACTCCAGAACAAGATCAAGGAGAAAATAAAAACAAAATGAGAAGATCAACTACAGAAATCCTCCTGAATAACAGAAGCTGACTAATATTCATAAGAACATTCCTTGTAAATAGCTGACCTAGAACTGAACTTGGAAAATGCTTTAAGAATGAGGTTGAGCCTTGCCAGACAGGTAAATATCAGATGTGGTAACAGTCTACACAATCAAAACTGTAAGGAGTCCTAATGGATGCTGAAGTCCAGGAAGTAATGCAATAAAGATGGTGTGGTAATAACATAGTTCAGAAGGAGCAGGGGAGCCCATCCCAGGCAGGGGTTGTAACCTGGTTATGGGCATGTGAAGGCTGACATCCTAGGACAGACTGCTGCAAGGCAGGGTAGGGTGGGGTTCACCAGGCTGCCCAGAGATAAGGAAAAGACTAAAATCTCACATCTGAGCTAAAATCTCACATCTATCAAGTAACCAAGAGGCCTGCAAGCAACCTCAACATTGAGAAGGGGATGTCCTAACTAGCATAGACATACCACTCAGGCTTGGTAACAGATGGCAGCAATAAATAAGTTGAATTCATCTTTTTCAATCTGTCAAATGAGTTTGACCGCATGAGTCACCCCCTAAAGCATGATGGTCTCTGAGCTAAATGACAAAACAAGCATTTGCACTTGTCAAACTGAACTGATGGCCCCCTGAAGAAGGAACTCAGGGTCAGACACAAGGGCTCTGGCCAGCTCTTACTCTGTTCTAAAGGAGCTAAAGAGTTGGGGAGACACAGAAGCCCCAAATCTGGCCATCAGTTAATGCCTGGTATGGTGGCTTCAATAAGAGTGGGCCCCATAGGCTCATATATTTGAATGCTTAGTCACCAAGGGTATGGAACTGTTTGATACAATTAGATTTAGGAGGTGTGATCTTGTTGGAGGAAGTGTGTCACTGGGGGTGGGCTTTGAAGGTTTCAAAACCCCATGCCAGACCCAGTCTCTCCACCTGTATACAGATCAGGGTGTAGCTCTTGGCATGGCTCCAGCACCTGCCTGCACTCCACCATGCTCCCTGCCACCATGATAATGGAGTAAACCTCTAAAACTGTGAGCCAGTTAGATGCGTCCTTTTAGGAACCTGTCTCACACGGGCTCTTCGGACTGTCCCAGAAGGCTGAGCTTGCCTTGCCAGACCCATTTTTACATTCAATAATTCACCACAAAACTTACCATGACTTTCTACCTTGTCTGCAGAGACTGTGTGCACATAGATATAAGACTTCATTTTCTCTCTTTCTACCACCTGAGTGTCTAATGTTACAGATTTCTTCAGGGCCAGAACTTCGTATGTAAAAAATAAAGAACCCCTAAAGAGAAACAAAAAGTTCTACAAATCAGGGTCTGAACATGACCCAGAGCTTTTCATAGTGAACTATTTTCTATTTTACTAGGAAACACAGTATACAGTAAAACACACAAGTGTCATTTTACATGTGAGTGCACACATAGATGTACATATGTGGGTGCATTCATCTCAGTTTCAAACAACAGTAAGTGGCTGCATGACTACAGTCAAGGAAGAAACAGAAGATTATCAGCACCCAAAGCTAACAGTATGCTCGCTCTCATTCTTTCACAGCTGATCCGTAGCAGTAACTGAATCATCCTTGCTTTTCATCACCTGTCTGCTACCTGCGTGCACAACCTTAAACAACAGTGCTCTGTTTGGCTTCATGGGAATGGACTAGGCTAGATGTGTTCTTTCGTTCAGCCTTATGTGTGTGTCAGTCATCTACACTCGTCTGTACACAGTTCCCTCATGACAAAAATACACTTACCACACTTCTTTACCCACTCTCCTGCAAATGGACACTTACAGCATTTTTAGTTTAAATCTACTACATGTAATGTAACTGCACATTTTATAAATATGTACACATGTGTACCTCTTCAAAGGCATGCTCAACCTTCTGACATCCCATATCCGTGGCTACTACATGCTAACAGTCTCTTCTGTTAAGATTTCCAACTGTGGTAACATGAAGCCATTAACTGTTCACTGATACTTACCCTAAAATGAGGGATCCAGTAAGTCTTATTATATTCCCTTCAAAAAGAAAGAGGAAAAATCAACATGATTTCATTTTTGAAAGTATGAAAAGAAATAGGTAATAGTGCAAACCTTTTGTGTATAACTGGGCCAAAAGTTAAATTTTTGTTACATAGGTGATCTATTTATTACATTGAATATTATATTTATTTTCAGCCACTATAATACATGGTGGCACCAAGTACAACTATGATTTATGCTTATGACTTCCACACACATACTCCAAGCTCCTGTTCTACCACCCCAAACCAAGTCACAGGAATCCAGGTCCCTGTGCCACCGTTGCACGTACTGGATCACAGACATCCACTGAGCATGACCACTAGGAGGGTCTACTGCTAGAGCCAAGGTGGGCTCGCCAAGTGTCCCAGCCTTTACAGAGGGACTGTCTGTCAAGTGGGAACATTAACATGACTTCTCCCTCCAGTAATCACAATGTACTTGATGGTTTAAACACTACAGAGCACATGGCCCCATTTAAAATATAGGCAACAAGAGTATAAGCTTGTATTTGGACCTTGGAAACATTTTAAAAATGTATTTTTATTGTCAAACAGTCAAATTTTATTGGCGGACAGTGGCCTACTCAATACACAACCATTCCAAAATATTCAAATCCTAGACTGCTGAGCAGGAAGGGTGGCCATGCTCTACACTGAAGTCAGACACACATGGAGATCTAGAAGGAAGACCCTTCCCCATGAACTCATGGGCCTTCACAAGATCGGGAATGAGAAGGTCTGCAGAGGTAAGACACAGAAATTCCTGGCTGTGCAACTCTCTGGGACAGTTGTGACTCCAAGATGGCCTCCTGGTGTCCTCCTCTGGCCCTCACCATGGAGATTCAGGGAACAGCCAGTATTCTCTTCTCTAATGCTACCACCTATGGTTTCTTACTGGCCTTTGAGTGTGCCTGTCAACGCTAGGCGTCACACACAGTGTGCCTCTCAACATTACTTGTCACACACAGTTTGCCTGCCAACGCTGGGCATCACACACAGTGTGCCTGTCAATGCTGGGCATCACACAAAGTGTGCCTGTCAATGCTGGGCACCACACACAGGGTCTTGTGCATGTTGGACACATGCTCTTCTCCTGAGCTCCATCCCCAGCCTCCTAGAATGTTTCCTGTCAATTTTCATGGCCATCCTCCCTTTTCTCCTCCACTACAGGTAAACTCAATACTCTGAAGTTTGCTATTCTGGGAATACTGAGAGAAGGAAGTGAAAGCTTGCTTTTCTGCTCTGGCTTATTTTCATATTTAAAATTCAGAATTAGAAGTCCCTACATTAAAAAAATCTACTGCAAAAATGTGTGTGTGCCGGGCGGTGGTGGCGCACGCCTTTAATCCCAGCACTCAGGAGGCAGAGGCAGGCGGATCTCTGTGAATTCGAGGCCAGCCTGGTCTCCAGAGTGAGTACCAGGAGAGGCTCCAAAGCTACACAGAAAAACCCTGTCTTGGGAAAAAAAAAAAAAAAATAGGTGTGTGTATGTGTTTGCGTGTGCATGTGTGTGTGAATGCATGTCCTCTCTTATGCACTGGTGCCCATGTCCATGCATGGTGTATGGAGGCCAGAAGAGGACATCTATCCTTCTCTACACTCTTTGCTTTATTCCGCTGAGACAGGGCCTCTCACAGAACCTGGAGCTTGGCTGGTAGCCAGAATCCCGAGATCTGACCCCTGCCCTCAGTGCTGGAGTTACAGGTACATGTATTACACTAGCTTTTTACTTTTATAGGTTTTGGGGATTTGAATTTGGGTCCTCATGCTTGCACAACAACCGTTCTTATCCACTGAACCACCTTGCCAGCCCAACAGGAATTTTTGTTTAGTTCTGTTGGGGAGACAGGGTCTGACTGTGTAATCCGGCTAGCCTGCTTTCCATGTTTCAGCTGGCCCTAAACTCCCAGAGCTCCATTTGCTTTTCTCTCCTGAGCGCTAAGATTAAAGGAATGGCATCATGCGCCACCATACCCAACTCCAATAGTCTATCTTAAAGCTTCACAGGAAACAGCTTGAGGACAGGGACTTCATCTTTTTCAACACTGTCACCTCAGGGCAGAAAACAGCACTGGTGCAGTGTAGAGAGGCCATCCATAATGTTTATTGTCAAATAAATGAAGGATGAGCAAGGTCAGCTGGTTTGTAGTCAGCTTTGTTGTTGGACTATCTTTGGATCACAAGCTCCCAAATAACACCATGGAGACTTATTATTAATTATGAAAGCTTGGCCATTAGCTTAGGCTTATCCACTAGCTCTTATAACTTAAATTAACCTGCTTTAGATTTACCTTCTGCCACGTGGCTCAGTCACCTCTACTCTATACCGTATATCTGACCTCTTTGGTGTCTCCCTGGCATCTCCATGTGCCCAGACTCCTTTTCCTCTTCCTCTCTCTCCCCGGAAGTCCCGCTTACCCTCTCCTGCCTAGCTATTGGCCATTCAGCTCTTTAGTAATTAATAGAAGGTGCCTTGGCAAAGACACCTCTTCACAATGTACACAAATGTTCCACACTTGCTATACAAATAAAAGAATCAGTGCTCAGGGGAGGTGTGTTTTTCATCCTTCTATTTGACACACACTGCTGGAACACCTTATGCATGCCTTAGATGACAGTAAACAATGGGACAGAATAATCAACAAGACACTGCCCTCTGAGTTTAGTCTACAGGAGAAGTCAGATAATTAACCAAGTTCCATACCGACTCTACTAAATGGAAAATGGTGGCTCTACCATGGCCTCAGGTGCCAGGCAACAGTGTGGGATGGATCAGAGCAGATACCACACCTCCACAGGACAAGGAATGTTCTCCTGGCTCAGCACTGTATCCCCAGAACCTGGTCGAGGTCCCTGGCTCTGCAAAGGACCTAGTGAGCATGTGCCAAATGAGAACACAGTAATGCTTAAGTTGGATAAGTGAGCATGAATTGACAGGACAGATGAAAAGAGAAAGAATGCCTGAGGAAAAAGGATCTTATATAGCTCTGGGCTCACAAATTTAGTGTCAACCACAGTATGGAATACATAAGCAAATGAGAAATTCAGAATGGGCTGTCTGAATGTGCTTTGTAATGCACTCTAGGAAAGTGGCCACAATCTCATCACTATTTCCACTAGAAAATGACGTTACTTCAACTGTACTCACGGATATTTCTCCAGGGTGTGTGACTTCTTAAACGGGGAGCAGAGGTTCCTATTCTTCTGCAACAGATGACACAATAGGCACCAAGGGACATCCTGTGTAGGAAAGTAATGTAACAAGGGTAATTTGATTCTTCTGACCCTAAGGACATGTCACTATCACAGTGGGTAGCCGGCAGTTAGAAAACTCAAAACTGAGAAAAAAAAAAAAAAATCTCAACTCAGGGTTCTACTCTTGAAAACAAACCAGACTTTACTAGGATAAATTTTGCTGACTCTTACATTATTCAAGTTATATTCATAAGACAAAACTCACCAAAGCAAATACTGGGAAAGAGGTGGACATGGCAGTAAAGGGGGGGGGGTCCCAACTTAACACTTATATTAAGGGCTTCATAAAACACCCATATAGGGTCAAAAACTGATGTGGTGCAGCAGGGAAGCTCCACTCCATAGGACAAGTGTGTCACTAACGTGTCACTGGGGCCACTAGTCTGGAAGCTTTAATGACAAGCTATAAATTATTATTCAAAGTATCACCTAGGGACAGGTTCTTAATAAAATGCAGATTCCTAGACATCTAATGTGTCTCTGCTCAGTGTCACAAGACTGAAACCACAGTGATTTTCTTGTGTGTGTGTATGGGGGGGCATTTCCCTCATGTGGGTTTGAGGCAGAGTACAGTTCTTAACAGGTGATTGGCAAGATTCAGTTGCAATCTTCGGTTAAGACTGAAATCCTCATGGCTTTGCTGGTAATGATGGAGCCACTTAGCTCCTAGATTAGGGCCTCTGCAGACAGTCCACTACATTGCTGAAGTAACAACAGCTTGTCCCCTCCTTGACAGGTTATCTGTCACATCCTATGCTACTTTAAGGGTCTCTGCATGAATACAGTAGGCTTTCCCAGATAGGCGAAAATGAACTTTCCATTACACAGATTGGGAAGGGAATAACAGAAGGCAATGAGGAGCCAATATGACCAAAATATATTATTATATCCCTTATTATGTAAATAAGGAACATTTTTGTTTTAAAAATCTATTCATGGTCTGTAAACCTAATTCTACTTGTAAAATTTCTCTTGCTATACATAAAATATAATCACAGATTCCAGGGAATGTGACGTGTGCATTTTTTTGGGTGGGGGGGGAGGCTGCAGCATTCAGCCTACCATAAGCAACCATGAGAATTGTGATACCAATTTTTATAGACATGTTTTCATATTTATTCAGTAATGCCCCAGGAGTGAGATTGCTGGGTCAGAAAATAATGTTCAATGTTTTTCAGCACATTTTTTAAGATTTATTTATTTATTATGTACAGTGTTCTGTCTACATGTATGCCTATACACCAGAAGAGGGCACCAGACCTCATTACAGATGGTTGTGAACCACCATGTGGTTGCTGGGAATTGAACTCAGGACCTCTGGAAGAGCAGCCAGTGCTCTTAACCTCTGAGCCATCTCTCCAGTCCATTTTTCAGCACATTTTATATTTCACCCAGCAAAGCAAAGGGTTCCTGTTGTCCAACATGATAACTGCTTTTAGATTTCTTAGTGGGTACACTACAGACCTCCCTACCAATCACTATGACATTTCCAGAAAACCATGCTGAAGACCTTTTCAAATGCATGTTAGCCGTTCATATATCCTTGAAGTATCTCTTCAAGTCTTCCGCTTGCTTATGTTGGCTATCAGTTCTTCATGTGTGCTGGAAGTTGAGTCTTCTATCAGATGTACTGCAGCTGTCCTCTCCACTGTCAGGACTTCACTATTTCCTTAAAACAACATTGTGATCAGCAGCCCCATAGACTCTATTTTATCAATTCCGTCTCTTTTGTGGTTATTGAATTTTGTATCCTGAAAAACCACTGTGCAGATGATGGCGGTACACACCTTTGATCCCAGCACCCAAGAGTCAAAGAGGCAGAGTGATCTCTGAGTTCAAGGCCAACCTGGTCTACAAAGTGGATTGTAGGATAGCCAAAACTGTTACACAAAGAAACCCCCTCGAGGGGAGGGGGGCAAAAAGCAAACAAAAAATTGCCTACATCATGTCATCTTTTCTTATGATTCTAGGACAGTTTTGTGTTATACTTTATGTTTAAGTCTATGGTCCATTCCAGCTGGGTGGTGGTACACGCCTTTAATCCCAGCACTCAGGAGGCAGAGGCAGGCAGATCTCTGTGAGTTCAAGGCCAGCCTGGTCTACAAGAGCTAGTTCCAGGAGAGCCTCCTGGAACAGAGAAACCCTGTGTGTGTGTGTGTGTGTGTGTGTGTGTGTGTGTGTGTGTGTGTGTGTGTGTGTAGGGGGGACAACAACAACAAAGTCTATGGTCCATTCCAAGTTAATTTTCTTAAGATTTAATTTTTGCATGCGTGTGCGTGCGTGCGTGCGTGTGTTTGTGTACCACAGTATGGTGACCTTGGAGGCCAAAAAAAGGTATCAGATTCCCTGGAACTGAAGCTATGGGTGATTGTGAGTCATCATGTGGGAAACAAACATGGGTCCTTTGTAAGAGCCACCAGTGATCTTACCTGCTGCCAAGTTAAGTTTTTTATGTATTCTGACGATAAGTGAACTTTTTTCTATATGGAGACCCAATAGTTCCAATAAAATGTTAAAACAATGTTCTTTTCACCAATGAGGTCACTCTGTACCTTCTTCAAAAGTCAACTGACTATATGTAACACAGGCCTATTTCTGGACTCCATGGCCCTGCTGACCTACTACTTTACTCTTAAATACATAGCACAGGAAGATTCATACTTGGCTAGAAACACCAAGTCTTGATGCCGGGTCATACGAAGCTCCAGTTTTGATCCTTTTATTTCTTTGAGCCAGGACCTTGCTATGTAACCTGGCTGGCCTCCAACTTATGATTCACCTGCCTCAGCATCCACAGAGACTGAATTCTAAGCTTCAGGCACCATGCCCTGCTTGCCCTTCATTTTCAGGAAGAGCTCTTCAAGATTCTTGCCTCTTCCACATAACTTTAGAGTCACTTTGTTGATATCTGTTTAACAGAGCTTTGGGGATCATTACTGTGGCAGAAAGAAAACAAAGCAAAAATGCTTGGGAAGAGCAAACTTGGAGCAGTTTTAAAGGAGTGGGTACAGCATGAAAATGTGGACAAGAACAAGAGGGGAAAGTATGAGGGACCAGGGCTGGCGAGATGGCTCCGCAAATAAGGCACTTGCTTGTTGCCATGCCTGGTGAACCGAGTTCCATCCCAGGGATCCACATGCTGGAAGAGAACCGACTCCTTCAAATTGTCCTCTGACCTCTCCACTCGTGCACTGTGGCACATGCATGCCACCCCCAACCTACGTTTGTGAGGGCATAAATAAATAAATATAATAAAAAAAATTGTAGGGCTGGAGAGATGGCTCAGACCTTAAGAACGCCGACTGCTCTTCCAGAGGTCCTGAGTTCAATTCCCAGCAACCACATGGTGGCTCCCAACCATCCATTAAGAGATCTGGTGCCCTCTTCTGGTGTGCAGATATACACGGGAGCAGAATGTTGTATACATAATAAGTAAATAAACTTTTTTTTTTAAAAAAAGATCATTGTTCTTAAAAAAAATTTAAAGAAATTCGAAGAACCGAGAGAGGGCAATAAGTGTGAAGCAAAAATTAGCATGAGCTTAAATGTGGACATATAATGACCAAGAAACTACAACTACCTTCTGCGTCAATTGCTGAGAACCCAACTCCATTAAGACTACAGATCAGGGGCTGGAGAGATGGCTAGGCAGTTAAGAGTACAGACTGGTCTTCCACAGGACCAGAGTTCAATTTCCAGCATCCACATGGCAGTTCACAACTGTCTCTAACTCCAACATCCGTCACCCTCACTCAGACATACATGCAGGCAAAATACCGATGCAAATAAAAAATTTAATTAATTAAAAAAGAGTACAGATCCGAATTTGGGAGTGAGATTAACTTCAGAACTTTCCCGAGGCCTTCACCTTGAAATGACGGTTACAGGGTTTAGAGACCTATCAACATTCCAACTACTCAGTCTCCCAGGTCAGAGAAGAGCAAGATGTGGCATGAAAGACACAGGTGTGGCTCATGAGATCACAGAGCCCGGAAGGGCTCACCTGCACGCAGGTGCTCTACTCCAAGCCTTTGGAGCAAGCAGAGAAGCGCAGCGATCACTCAAGGGCCAGAACCAGGCCCTAAGGGCCGCGGCAGGTCACCGGGTCC